TCTCCCAACGTGACCAACATGTGACTAAAAGCAAGCGAGTCGAAGAGGAAAACGCTCGGAAATGCAAACGTGTGCGCGGTAAAAAATTATGCGTTCCGGCAGCTTTTCAAGGATTCTAACTCACTTCTCCTATGGTTTACTGTTTCTGAATCGCCGAATTCCTTCAAATTTCTGCGCATATCCATGCCAATCAGCTACGGATGGGTGGTAATTAATTGTATGGTCTTAGTATGGATCACCCACATGGTACTGTAGCCATGCGTGGAGCGTCTTCTCAGAACCAACTTTTGAAATGATCGGCGTCTTTTCGAATATCGAGCAGGCTATCACCGCACGGAATATAAGAGGACAGCAAAGTGAAGAAAATGCAAGTATGATAAGGTCATTTGTCGACGTAAGACACCTCTTGAAGCGAATGCGAGGAAATGCGCAAAAGAACGAAATCTATTTCGTAGAAAATTCCATTATTTATTATGAAAAATTATTCGCTACTGTAAAAGCCTGCAAAAGCCCCTCGTAACCGAACAAACTACGTAAACCAAAACTGCTGTGAACAGAAAAACTGAGGTGGGAAGAGGCATCATTTCAACGGAAGCATAGTGACTCATCCTGTGACTACTGGTAGTAAGAGCTCCCAGAATTCTTCAACACGAGCGCAACGAACCATTTAGACCTTGATGGAAATATCTTGCATTATACAATTGGAATGCTCCTAAATTCATATGACGTCTGTATTTACATGCGTTCACTACGGGAAGAAAACAGGTCGGTTGTGAGTAAAAATAACGAAATATAATCTGAACATCAGAGATAGCTGAAGTATGGCAGACTAGTAAAATTGTGGTTGAATTCCAGTTCGACGATAAGGTGCCCGTCATGGCTGAAAAACGATTCGGCCGAAAAAAACTGAGCGACTACTCTACAATGGGTTTACACTCGACCTATGGATACGATTACGTCCTTTCTACATAGTATGCCCTCCTTCCTTGAGGTACTCATCGGCAAAATAAATCTCGGGATTACAAGGCACAGCTGACGCGGCAGGTGGCCAAATCCAAACCAGAACCGTAGTGGTTTCGTGTCCAACCTTGAGCAGGGCAAAACAACGTATGTGAGAACAAAAAAAGTTTCGAAAACGGCAAATCACAGTTGTGGGGATGAATTACAAAAGACGAATGCAAATATAGTTTTGCCAAACTCAAAAGCTGATATAAGTGATCCTGTGAGTTTTGACAACACTGCGAATAAGAAAATAGGGCACGGGGAATATACTGCAATACGGAAACAAAAAGCAGAGCATTAGGTGCAAATACGACTGCAAAGGTCATTTGGGGAAGATTTTCCTGACGCATTCCATCACATTTGACAATTTCCGCCCAGTTGTAGAAAGGAATTTCTGGTCGATTTGGTCCTGTCAACCAGCAGGAAGATTGTGAAGGACTGGGTATGCTGTCACTATGCCACATTCGGGTGGCCTTACTACACTCGATATCCTGTGGTACCCGCCTAGCCAGTAGCCCACCCAACGTGTAAGCACTGATGGCGAAACGCAAATCAAAAAGAGTGAGTTACTCAGGATGTGCTCAAAAAGGCAATATATTAAAAAGGAATAAATGGTGAGAGTGATGTTTAGGGAAGAAGTTCGTTCTGCTTGTCTGGCCAATATGGCTGAGCTAGGCACTTCGAGAACATGCGCGTTAGCCGGCACAGGGGGAGCGTCGAGTGGTATCCAAGCCTTCTTGGATGCATACTCATTAGAACAAAACTTAAATCGCTTTGGGCACCCTGAGGCAAATTGTAAGTTTATTTAGTCAGTCTATATTTAATTCGATCTGATCTATTTACTTTGGCCCTAGTCACACTTTGGTGACAGATGAGTGCTCTACAGGCCATTCTCCCTCATAATGTTGTTGGGATACTGAAAATATTCTACCCTATGTGGGCACGCAACACCTTTCCGTATGAGGAAGGGAGTAGGTGACGCGTCGGTCTCCAAAGTTAGTGCAACTACGCACATCTGTGAGGCAATAGAACTTTGCGTCTAGACGTAACCCCAATCGCAGTCATGATGGATGACCTGAAGCCTGCACCTGCAAGTCGCTTCTTATTAGAAACGGACATTTTCATTGTGCATGTGTAATTTTTGTTCAGATCTTAACGGTTTGTTTGAGAATCCATGTGCATGGGAAGCATTGCGTGCCGAACGCAGCATGAACCCAGAATTCAGAACTTCTCCCTGACCAAATTACTGATTGTGCGAGCTGACTGAATTGTCATATTGGACAACATGATTGTTGTTCATGTCTCTGTAATTTGGTCGGGGCCTCCTACACATTTCCGTAGGATATTCTCCACATAGAAACTGCAGCAGCTGATTGCAATGGTCTTCCGGTATCCTAATCCCCAGAACCTTGGGAAGGCACGCGCCACTCCGTCCGGATATGCTAGACAATACCTAGCAAGGGCACAAACTTCCACAGTTCTCGCAATCGGATCCCAACCGATAAAATTCACGGAACTCGAATTCCAAACATGGAGTTCACACTTAGTGTGTAGTGGAAGCCAGTAAAATCTTCCTTTGTAGCAAAATATGCGCACTAAATTTCGTTTCATGTCTTTACCTTTTCAGCTGCTAAGGATGATGACCAACGCGGAGTAAGCAACGACGAGAATAAGCTTACCAGCATACCTAAGGAGACGAACTGAGTAGGGTAAAACAGAAGCATACCGAGGTATCTGCCTAAATTACAAGAGTAAAAGTAACGTATCCTTAATGGATAATTTCTTACGGAGGAGAACCAAATATGCTGCACTAGGGACCGTAAGCTTCCGTAGTTTACTTGTATTTATTTCTGTAGCCACCCCTATCAACCTGCTCCGTGGACGTAGCTGTTAATCCAGTTTTTATTTCTTCTTTCGGAAAATTTTACAAAGGTTCTGAGTTTGTTTTTTGAGTTTTGACTGATGCCCATGTGCTTTATATATGTGTGCGTTTGCTGAGTGTAGCACATTTGGTGGCATTGAACTACAGTTAGGAGTCTTCTATCCTTTTGTTTTACTGCGGTTGCCTAGACGTCACAGATGATCAAGGTTCCAAAATTATGGAATACTTCATGTTCACCAAGGCCTAAGATTATAAATGATGAAATTGACTAGGAATTTCTAGCTCTTACCAGGCACGAGGCTGGCACTACCCGTGAAAATTGCGCACACTATATCTTGGATGTCCGCTGGACGCATTTCAACGAATCTATTGCTTCTGGATGCTGAAGTTGAAAAAGTGTAGATGTTTGGCTCTCAGTCGGTAGTTTCAGAAAGATTATGAACAGCTTATGTGTAATGGTAATAACATGCATGAAATATACTTTTCTGGAATGGCCAAAGTACTGTAATAAATTAACAACCTGTGTTTACACTCCCTCATAAACTTTCATTATTATCCCAAGGAAAATGTACAAACTGTTGCAATGGAAGTAATAACTTTAGGCTGCGTTTTTATCTAGGTAATACTCATAATGTCGAGATACAGGCCTGGCAATTTTTGATGAAAAGACAATACTTCTGCTTGTCCAAAATGTAAATTTTTGCGTGCTTATCCTGTCGGGGGTCCCATTATATAAGCATGTAGCACCTATATCCTCTAGTGATAGAATAGGTGAGGACTGATATTACCCGCCATAACGACCATGTGGCTCATGTAGTGACTTATCAGACCTGTAAAAATGGTGTAATCCTGTATATCCAGGAATAAACATTATTGCTGTTGTTACTGCACTATTGTTAAGTGGCAGCTTGGAATTTTAGGGAACTTTTAGCACTAGCCAAAGCATTTACAAAGATAACTGGTGATATTTTCACTGTCTTACGCCTGTCCATAGTTGAGTTTAAACTAGAACACTATACACAGGGAAAACCTTGTCTGAAAAGTGACTCAAACTTCCTAGGTAGCCAGCCCGGACCTCCCATCTAGCTAATGTTTCACAAGATCTTCAAATCATAACGCAGAACAAAAGTACAGGCGCTCCGTTTATTTTCCTCCACCTGATATAAACGCGGATTCAGTCGACGTTGGAAGGAGCATAAGAGGGTGATAAAGGTAGAAGCCTTTCTCGACCACTTCACAAACTGAAACAATTTACCAGTAGTTTGGTGTTGTAAATGAGGTAACCCGCGGCGGCTTGTAAAATTATCTCTGAAGTCAGTCTTGTCAATAAGAAAACTGTTCTCTTGCACTAACGTCCTCGTTAGAATAGTTTGGCGTGTGGTTAATACAAGAATTAGATGCTACTTATTTTCTAACAATGTATTTTCTCATTGAGGGGTTATACGACCAGAAGGAGTGGCAGCCTTCTCAACAGAGTTTTAAAAAATAAAGCTTCACGGGTGTGATCAAAAATAAAAGTCTTCCGCTGACACTGGTATGGTAACACTAGTAACTTTTATCCGCTTCCTACCTATCATAAATATTTTAATTGTTATCACTTTCAGGATGTTGCATTTTCACCTAGGAGAAACCACACTTCATGTCGCAAAGGCCACCTCCAGGTACTTAAACAGACAGGGGTCTAGGCATTATCTTATAGCTTTTTGAAGTTCTCAGCTTAAATATGCTAAGTTCAAATGTCATAACAAACAGCCACTACCCCATAGATAAATGCGGGAACTTAGAAGAGACTTTATCATCCACAAAAGGGATGAGACCAGACAAGGATGAGTGTGAGAGTGGGAAAACTACCAACTTTTGTCCTCCACAAAATCGAGGTTCATTTTTAAACTGACATGTATTTGTCTACTCACTATCAGATATACAGAAGAAGAGTCGCCAGATTTACATCATAACAATTTTGTAGGGCCTGTAGATTGCAACTACAACCAAGAAGTTAATGTCATAAAACCAGTAACTTAACACTACCTAATAAGAAATAAGTTTTGGATATTGGGCATTGTACATTGAAGGTTTTACTCCAAAAGCTTGAAGCAGCCGGTACTTAATACGCAAGATGTGTGGTGAGTGGTTACTTAAATGCTACTTTTATGTTATTGCTGCAAAAACTATCTGAGTACCTCACTACTAGTATTAAAAATCATATTATTTTCGCCCCCCCCACTGTCACTGAAGTGTACTGTTTGGGTGGTGTTAAAAAAGCAAGTCCTCATAAGTAGTTTGAAACATGCTTTCTTTGGCAGGCTACATCTTTTATGCTTATAAGTAAATGATCAAAATGATATGTATACAAAATTTTGCTTTCGACTAGTCTCCTGATTAAAAATTCTACCCATCGGGACTCCACTAAGATAAGCTATTGTACCCCGACCAGTTAACTGGAAATTTCCAGAAATGAAGACAGTTGCATAATAATGTTCGTTATTTGTAGCATAGTGGAGATTCTCTCTTGCCCCTGGTAAAGTGCTAGGCGTATCCATATTCACTTTGTTTACGTGCTTGCTGGAAGTAAGTTAACTCCCCAAAGAATAAAGTTCTCTATGCTTTCGCCAATCTTCAAAGGAGGAGACCGATAAAACCCATGGAATTACAGACCAATAGTGTTACTTTCCATACTATCGAAGGTACTGAAAAGTATGTTGGGACTACCTAATCAGAAAAAATTAAGTCCACTGGAACCGGGCGATCATGTATCGCAAGCTTGGTGATTGCTTAGTTTATCTGAATTAGAGGATCTAGCAAATAGCAAGCGGCACACATTATCTTTTGGAATTGGCTAAGGCTTTTGATAGCGTCCCACACAATATGCTATACTAAACCCAATGCATACTATATCAGCAAGAATGTTGTGGTTGCCACCCCGTCTTCTCTTATTGTGAAGAAACCAGCCAAGCGAGAACATTAAACTCAAAAACGACACTATCTGCTACAAAAGATTCTATCCTATTTGATGTTCTGTTGGACAGCATTATGAATGTTCCTTTCCAATAATTTCACAGCTGTACCAGTTAGATTTACTAGACCAGATTTAGCTACCAAATACTGGAGTTGAGTTTTGGAGACTGAACTGATAATAGCATCCCTCCAGTCTCTGTGAATTCGACTTACCTGGTTAGGTATTGGGCAGTATCGACAACAGTTCAGCAGTGATTTTTCACCAATACTGATTATATATATATATATATATATATATATATATATAAAGCGTAAAAGCATTGACAGTATCTTTCGGTCGGGCTTTGAGCAATTTTTGTTTATACTACTTTCAGACCGGCTTCGAACACAGCTTACCTCCTTATGTTTTATATTTCCACGTTTTTACGTAGTACCTATAAACGATGGAGGAAAACAGTAAAAGTACTTTCATTTCGTTATAGACCAATGTTGCTAAACCAGCCACTATGTGAATACCATTCAACTAAATAATAAGTAAAAGGTTCTTCATTTATTAAGTGATGTGAATGCGTTGCGTGTTCATGTCGTTCTTGTAGAATTATGGAAACTAAATAAAGATTTGTTGTCTACACTCAAAAAGAGTTTGATTTAGGAAACAATTAGTATTTTATCAAAAGAGTGGATCTAACAAGTATTTTCAACTACTCGCCAATGCTGATCGTTTACGAACAGAGATCTAAGTAGTTGCAAGTGAAGTGCGTCTTTCACTGCTAGTGTTCGAAGACCAAAGGTGTTGGAGATGCCTTAGTTTTGCTTTGCAGTGTCTAACACTTACTGGGGTCCCCGTGGATTATCTCGTGTTATATCTTACCTAATCTACTGACAAGTTAATGTTTCTGAATACTACCACTTACCTTCAACAAGAGTGCTGCATAACATTGCTTATCTATTTCATACGTGGTACGTGTAGCTTAGTTACTTGGTAAACTATTCATTTTAGTGCCAAAAGTGAAGGCACGTGACGTGTATAATACTAAAAAACACTGGAAACTATTCGTTTTCCACCTCAAATGCTTTATCCTGTATTTTAGTTCCGGTGAAGTCTGGTTGTTTTAGTTCATCTGAAAGAAAACTAACATTTTAAAAATTTTTCCTTTGTGCATCGCAAAATTTTATATGCTGGTTGCACCGTGATGCTAGATATTGTCACCGAATGGTTAATCAGATTACACTCAGGCCAACTTCTATATTATGAATGCCTATGCAAAGGCTAAATCACTTCACTTCCTTGTGAATAACTGATGACAATATCTAACACAACACAGACACATTTATGGACTGAAACCCCATCTAATAAAACCTCGGTGTGGACAGAAATATCTCATTCAAGTACCTCAGACTAACATTCCCACCGTTATTTGTATATTTAAGTCACCTCAGTCAGCCTATTCAGCGATAGTAGTGGATATTATGAATAGTCATCAACCGCTGCCACTGTAACAAGCGTCAAGTAAACGAAACCATGTGGACTAAAGAATGTGGTTTCGGAAGAAGACTGTGCAGACATTTGATTCTGATCTTCGATTTTTTGTGAATTGTGCAACAAGGTTAGGGCAACTGAATACGTGTTGATACTCTTTTTTTTCTCCTTTGAAGATGTAGTGGTTATTTCTAGGATTTTGTGACACGTTAGTCTATTTATTAGATTTTCACGAGTGGGTGAAGAGTTCGAAACCGACTCCAGCAATAGAGGTTTGAACAATCATGTATTATCGGTGGCCATCACATATTGAGTCGAGTTCATTGCCTGGGGCATGAAAGTGGGCTTGGTTTCTTAGTGCTTATCTTTTTGATTTCTCACTAGCTGATATACAACCTCTAACTGTTACTGGATTACTTATCACTAGTGTATATACCTGTCCAGCTGGTTCTGTTTATGGTAAAAACCCACGTAGCTGCTGTGAAAGACAACCTAGATCATTAATCAAATTTTTTCATGATCGGCAACCGCTCATTTTACGGCTTCTGCAAGAAATGTATTCACGCAGTAGTAAGAATCAGGTGGCTTTTGTCAAAGCAAAAGGGTTTCAAGAATGCTTTAACTGTTTTTCAGTTTTGTTTTTAATTCTTGATATCAGACTCAAAACTTCTACCCTTTAATTTTGAAGGATTGAAAATTAAGTATAATGTTTATCCTATCGCATTAATGAGCGTACTGTTGTGATCGATTATGTTCGCATTTGTTGGTGCATAATAAAAAAACACTTGAAATCTCATGCAAAAGTGCATCGGTTAACGCCGCTTCAGATCGCAATAGTAAAGGCAGAATATGTTGAAGAGTAGATAAATGTGGATGTGAGAGGGAGAGAAAGCAAATAAGGATGGATGAAATATGATCATTACAAGACGTCTACTTTTTGAATGTGCTAACACCATCGTGGTCAGTTTTGTGCTGTTATCGAGAGTTTGTAACTATTTGCTACTATGATCTTGTTCAGACAGCTTGTGCTTTCCTGCACTACTCGGAATGTTTCGTAATATCTTTAGTCAGTTGTCATGATCCGCTCCCCGCTATCCGGCAATCATTTCACTGCGGGTTGAGTGGTAGCTTAGGGTGCGCGGGACATGGCTCATCTTAGTCGGTGACAGTTTCCAGTCTGAACATGTAGCCTACCTACCTTGTGAAGAACTTTCAGCGTGGTATTTGTTGTTCACTCCATTGCATAAAGTGATTCTCCTTAAGGTACTCAAAATCGAATGCCTGAATTCTCAAAGTGACAAGCCAATGTGTCTATTTTGCTACCGGATAATAGCAATAAACTGATAAGCAGCTTATCCATCCTTTAATGGCAAGTTAGATAGGTCGTTAATACTATGGGATACGTATGTTGGAAATACCAGGAAAGACCCCCCTGTTATCTCTGAGGTTGCTATAGACCATCAGCGCACAAGGATTGATTTAAATCCTCAAGAAGTTCGTAGCTAACTTACTGAAGTTTAATAGCTACGTTTCTTGTTGTAGATGGGGTGGAGTGAATTACTGAAAAGTACACTCTACCTTTAGTAGGAAATTGGGTCTTACCGGAGAGAAGAGTAATATAAGTTGTCAAACATCAGTCGAGCTTTTTCTATCCTCACTAATATTTAGTCAGTCACCATAGGATCTTTCGGTCGGCAGAATCGAATCCCACCTTCATATCGAGAAATACAGCTAGTGTCGGGTGTCAGCTGTGTTTGTATTTCAGATCCTGAAGGGAAGATATCTGGCCGATACACCTATGACCAGGTCATGAACCTGCTTGGTTTTCTCGCTTTTCCTATTACCGAACTCCAATCAAGTGTCTGATAATTATAGAACCCAGAATCGTGGACACTACGTTTATCAGGCTGATTTACCTGTGGTAATCACAAGAGGATCTCTTGCATTTCTTTTAGACTCGGTTAGTCACTGGTTAAGACCAGTTCGTGGAAATCATATCTAGTTCACACAAGTTAGCTAACACTTCAGTTAACCGGTGCTAGTCTTTCTGGTCCTGATGTTCTTTCTCATTTCACCTTACCTACTGCTTTCATGACTTCTTTAAGTGTTAGAGGTCCTATCTCAGTGTTCTATTTAGGACTCAACTCGGTGGCGGGGAACGAAATACTAGCTGGAGGCCAATCGAAGTGTTCTGTTCATCGTTCTAGTCAGGTGAATCGCAGACCCATCCTTCTCTTCTATAGTTTCACTAGGCATTGGCCTTTCCATCTATTTCCTAGATAAATCTAAGTAACTGTACTGTTACGTATCCAGTCCCTGAAGTCTTTGACTGTTGGTCTGTATATGGTTGAGCTATGGTTCAGCCGTTTAGTGGGGTAACTAACAACCATTAGGTCATAGATTTGAGCCCCGCCCCACCTACCGGGGTTTGGGCAGCCAGGTAGTATCACTAGTCCTCACACAATAGGTGTGGCTCATTGCTTACCGCACAAATGTGCACTAGGTGGCTGTGTCCGAGTGTGGTATTTATGTGAAACAATCTATCCAGCACGTAGTCTTACCGGTATTTTCATCAGTATTTTCTGAGACCATCCCATTTGTTTGGTTTACTTTTGAATGCATTACCAACTTTTCTTTCCATTTTAATTTTAAGGGATATTTGCATACCTTAATTATCAAGTACCAATTAGTCGTCAAGTCATTGTGAACACATTACTTAATGGCTTACATCGACTTGAATATCGTGGTTATGATTCAGCTGGACTCGCCATTGATGCTGTTTGCCCAGAAAAAATGGTTTATGCAGTGACGATGGTTGTCATGGGACCTTTATTCGAGTTGTACGTTGCAAGGGGAAAGTGGCTTCATTAGGACAAGCAATCAAACGTGAGTATTTTTAAAATTTATTGATCGCATTTACGTCTCATCTTCTACAAGATCAATCTATGTACAGCTAGTATTTTCTCGTGGTTAAGAGAAATTTAGACATACCTAGAAGATTAAATGTACATGAAGAATTAATTTTAACTCGATCTGTTCAGTAGCCTAAAACTTTACAGTGACTATCAAATCTTACTGAATGCTATTTTTAGAGATGTGACTCATTGGCTTGGAAACTCTGCTTTCAAGCAATGAGTCTGTAGTTTGAATCCCGCTCTATCTACTTCGACCTGGGCAACCATGTTGAGTCACAAGCCCTCACACAACATGTGTGGCTTATACCTAAAAAAACATTAAGATGTGCCGGGTTGAGTTATATATATATATATATATATATATATATATATATATATATATATATATATATATATATATATATATATATATATATATATATATATTCAAAGTGCTATTCACGTCCTATTCTTCAGTAAAATTTGAATTTTACCAATTTAGAAGTATGTTCAATGAGTTCAGACGAATTACATCCGGATATATTCAGGTGACTGACTGACAAAACGTAGAATCTCGCAGTGGCTCAAGTTGCCACACTTCACAGTAGTACACAAAGAACAAGTTGATAGAAAAAAAAATGATATCAATGAAGACAAAGTAGTGTTAAGGAATAAACAATCTGAGAATAAAGGTTAGCACGAACATTCTAGCCATTTAAGATGTCAAGGAGTGAATACATCTGCTCCATTGTGACCGACTTTCAGTCATGTCACCAAGAGTTCTCAACCACTGATTCCTTTCGTCCCAGAGACTCTAACCAGGATATCTTCATCACCCCACATGACACACGTCAACAGTCAAAGACTTTATGGACTGGTGCCACGTCTTGATTTAATCAGCCTACACTCTCTTCTAACCGAATCCAACTTCCCCTAGCATCGCATATAGAGGCAGGCAGTGGCTTGGTATGCGCAACACATGTCCAAGCTACATAACCTGATGAAGGTTCACAATTTCACTAGTTGACTTCACTGTCTTGCCTAGTACACTTCGCCTGACTGACCTCAACATTGCTCACACAGTGATTCCACCAAACGCCACCAATGCTACGAAGACACCTATGATCAAACCCTGTAATCGCTTCATGTCTTCTACTTTCAACGGTCAAGTTTCAGTCGTATAACAGGATAGAACGGACTGCAGTGCACCATACTCGTCCTTTAATTGATAGTTGGATATATCGACAGTGCCACTGATAACGCCAGTTGGTAAACGCCAAACGAGCCTTCTGTATCCGAGCTGAAATTTCGCTAGCCACCAGCCCATTCGGACTGATGTAACTCCTCCTATCATTAAACTGGGAGTACTTGCAGCAGACCTGTCGTGGAGCAACAATTTACGTTTGACAGGTGCCAAATGCATACTTACCGTACTCAGATTTCGACTGAAGACGTTCAAATGACCCTGCATTTTGTCACCGTCTTCACAGCTGGATACTACTCCGCACACTTGATTATATCTACATTATGATGCAGTGCAGGAAAATAGAAATATGTATGCTACGCAAACTTAGACCAAGACGTGGCACCAATTTAAGACGTCTTTGTTGATCTGAACCGTTTAGGAAGAGGTAGGTTATCTGGTTAGGGTCTTGGAGATAATAAAAATCAATTGTTGTAAACTCGTGGTGATATCGTTGGAAACTGGTCACACTGATGCGGATGTATGCACTCTTTATTATCTTCAAAGTCTCCAACATTTATTTATTGCTTTTCCGCATTTTGTCTACTTTCTATCTACATTTTTCACATAGTTATGTCAAGTATAGCAAATTGAACTGATTTTCCGATTCGAATCTATGTCAACACAATAAGTTATAGATTTAGCAAAATAATTTATTTTTCGGTTCATTTTGTTAAAAATTGAGAATTCTTTAAATTTCGGCTTAATATATTATTTATTTAGAATTTCTAACTGATGATGACCTGCCGAATGAGCCAATCACAACACATGTTGGTATAGCACATACCCGTTGGGCAACTCATGGTGAACCGAATGAAGTAAATGCACATCCTCAACGTTCTGGTGCTGATAATGGATTTGTTATAGTACACAATGGTATTATTGCTAATTATACAGACCTTAAAGCGTTATTAGTAAGTTCAATATCATTTTGAAGACTATCTTGTTTGAAGCGCAACTGTTAAGTTTTTTTATTTTTGGTGATAGGACTTTTCAGTGGTGTTCACCTCTGAAATTTCAACACAATCAAAAAGGGAGCCTCAAATTTTGTTGAGGAGCATGTTATTTCCGAAATATCTGGAAATTATTAACAGTTTTAGACAGGAGTGGTTCTATTGATCAAATATCAATGCTTTATCTATAATTCCTGCTCACACCAAGTATCTTTTATGTGATATTAACTCTGAGTTAATTTGTAAGCGCAATCGGTGCATTGTAAAGATAAGTGTCAAGTCGTAATCGAAATGCACTCATCAACCTTGTGCGCATTCGTTCAGTCGGCGATGAGCCACATCTATTGTGCTAGGGCTAGTGATACTACCCAACTGCTCAAACCTCGGTAGGTGGAGCAGGGCTCGAACCCGTGCCGATCGGTTTGAAGTCAGTCTCTAAGGGAATGACCCACAGGTCCATGGAGATGAATGTGACCGGAGCAAATGAAATTTATGCTGTTGAGAGTGTTATATGGTGATTAACCTTTTGTAGGAAGTTTCACTTCATGATGTCGATTGTACTAGCATAATTACATACATGCTATTATGTTTGTCATTTGAAGCGATCAGTTCTGTCAGTTTTTATCTCATTGACTCATACAAACCAGGTCACTTACTTCTCCACTGTTATTGAAACTAGTTGATTTCAAGGTGGTATTCATCACTTGACTGAATGGCAATGTGCTTGCCACGAGATCTGAAGGTCCTGAGTACGCGTTGCTAAGGAGTTACATACTAGGTCGAAACAGCGATCCAGTACTTGCAAGTTTTCAGTGGTTCTCCAACTGATGTCAGTCCATGATGAATGCTACCTTAAAAGTAAATCCTCATAAATCCGAAACTAAATTGCTATATAGTACTCATTAGTGACGAAATGTATATCCCGAAGTTCTAATGAGAAGCCGTGACCTATGGGTCAGCAAGTAGGAAGAGAAGTGGATACAAACTGAAGACCGTGGGTGTTAGGCGCACTATACCATGAACTAACAGAAGTAGGAAACTATGAACCACTGAACTTCGACCCAGTGGTTGAATGGTTGACGCGTTCACCGTGAAACCTAAAGGTCCTGAGTTCAATTCCTAGTGGGGTCATGGGTGCGCATTGTTGAGGAGTAGTCCCGTACTGAAACGAAACAGCTGTCCAGTGCTCTCTGTTTCAGTGGTTCTCCAACTGATATCAGTCCATGGCAAATACCAACCTGAAATCAGTTAAAATCTCCAAAAACCTCCAAACTGAATTAGTTATGATACACAGATAAGTTATTGATTTTATTCTTCGATAGACAACCATCGTTATAAATTGATTTTGGAAAATAAGTTGTGTGACAGTCAGTTCCCTGAGATAAGGAAAGTAACCCTTTATTCGTCTAGGAAACGCGGTAGATTATAGCCTCAAATCACTTATCCACTAGGGTGGATAAACATTCTGCAGTGTCTGAAGACGTGGGTGGTTGTAACCCTAAAAATCTAGTCACGTGTTTCGAATGTGTTCATACGAAACTGTAATATAATTCTTATATTTTCAGGGGATAAATTTTGCTGATTAACCTGCCTATTGGTAATCAAGGTTATATATTGGCTGTCGTAATTGGTGTCTTTCATTTTTGTGGTTAAACTAACTGACATATTTGACTGTGATAATGTTAGTTAGGCATAAGTTCTCTTCACGTCACAAGCTTGAGACTGTACTAAGTTAGGTGGGGGAAAAGGGGAGGTCTTTTCAATCCACTGCTACGCAAAATTTAATGTGTAGCAAAAATTGGTCTGAATCATTATTGTCATTACCATTGTTGTTCAACCTCCAGTAAACGAAGTGATTTTTGTGTATACATGGTATTTATTTGTGACGTGGATAGGTTGATAGATTAAGCATCTGACCTCAACAATGAGTGATGCGGGTTCATATCGCCGAGGAAACATTAGTTTCCTCATGATTTCAGGTATACGTTACTGATGAATGTCAGTAAGCACGTAACCCTACACCAAAATAAAGTAAGTTCACTATCCATCTTGGTGACTCGCACTAGAATCTAGGATGCGCATTTCCTTCGGGACTCGTCAGTTGGGTGCACCTGCATCCCAGTGAGCGTTGTTCCCACCGGGACGTGAACCAGTACCCATCGTTTCAAACGCAAAAGCGTTATACACTAGGCCTCTGATGGACGAGAGCTACCACAACTTTGTAACGGGTACCACTTCTTAACGTTGGACAAGTAGTGGCTGTTGTGACCCAGTGGCCTAGTGTATAACGCTTTGGCATTTGAAGCGATGGGTATTGGGTTTGAACCTTGGTGGGGACCATATCAGTCACTAGGGTGCAGGTACATCCAGCTGACGAGTCCCAAATGGGACGAAACGCGCATCCTGGATTTTACTGCGAGTCACTAAGGCAGTATCGAGGCATCCGTATAGGTGCCCATCTACCAAAAGAGGTCAAGCAATTCAACCCTGTATAGCAACGGGAAATTACCAGTCTCAAACAACAATAAATTTATTATGGTTTATCTTTTTATACTTTTGTTTTCATCCCTTTAGAGTCGTCGTGGATATACTTTTGAATCTGATACCGATACAGAAGTAATACCGAAATTTATGCAAATGATTTATGATTCACATAAAGAAAATCCAATCACATTTTTAGAAGTTGTAGAGTTGGTTGCTCATCAGTTGGTAAGTGAATACATATAAAATGTGATCTGTTCTTTTTTTCACAATTCATATTTATCAATGTTGAATCAGTGATGAATCTATTGTCTTATTCGTCCACACGTGTTCGGCTATCAACTAAACATATTTTCACACTCACGTAATCTACCTTATTCTGATCAGCGATGTAGTACCACTATGTTTCATATTTTTATATAACTGCTAGGTATAGCTGCTTATGAAGCACATCAAGCGAGAAAGCACTAAGACGAATGATCAGGAAATAAAAAAGAATCGGCTGAAAACAGTAGAAAGTGGTAAAGGAGAGGAAGGAGGAATAAGATAGATAGATACATCTATGCCATTGAGATCGATCCTGCTCCATGTCATGCTGAGTCTACAATCACTCGTTTCTGTTGCCCTGCTGATCTCAACCAAGAAGTCCACATTTTCCTTCTATGCTCAGACCAACAGTCAAAATCTTCATACAATGATCTCATGTTTTAGGTTGGTCGACCTTGACTGTCTTTCAGCGTGAACCCACTTCAGCTAACATTGTGCGACGGGGCAGGCGATGACTAGACATGGATACCACATATCCTAACCGAGTTGATAAAGGTTCACGACCTTATTGTTTAACTTTCCTCTTCTCTCTAAGACTTAGCAATTGACTTTCGCATTATTAACCTGATAATAGCACGACACACGACCTATGTTACGAAGGCAGCGGTGGTTGAACACCTGAAAATTCATGTGCTCTACATTTGATGGGCATGTTTCACAAATATACAGTGGAACAGAGTAAACTGCGAAGTAATACGCTCGACACGTAGTCGAAAATCTAATGTCACAGCAGCATTATAAATGCTGTAAGTTGGCGATTTCGTTGGTCACTGACCCACCATGGCTGATCCGACATCCTAGGTAGGTGAATTGGTCAATGCACTCAACCATTTCACTCCCTATTGTTAGACGAGGCAGCAAAGTGGACCGGTCGTAGAGCAGCAGTCTGCATTTGGGTGATGAGAAATTCATCTCAGACATCCTCAAATTGCCGCGTAAGATGTGCAGAGGACTTTTCATCTTGTCAGCTTCACTTAACAAGACTGTGTCATATCTGTACTCTAGGTCTGTTGAGGATTCTCCTTATGGTATTATCAATCCCTCCATAGATACATCTGTAACAAAGTTTTATAACAACGGACAGAGTAAACATCCTTGAAGGAAACCACACGAGTTCAACAACTCACCTGACTATCAACCGTAAGCTTTAATACGCCCATGGGTGTTTGGGTATGGAGCACTAGGACTTTCAACAGAGTGATGTACATAGATATGACTCATTGAATTGAATAATCAACTTTCATATCAGTGAGTTATGGGCTTACACTTCACTCTCTACCTACCGAAATTTTAGCAGTCAGTTAGTATCATTAACTGTGGCTCAATAGGTGGAGCTTATGGTTTAGCATATGAACATTTACAAAGTTGCTGCTTTAAAAATCGTTAGTCAAATAGTCATTTTCACAAGTTTGTATCACTTTCTCAAGGTAACCGATATTGTGGTCAACTATTTATTTGCATCTATATGTTGTATAACTTTGGTTATTAACTCGAATGGTGAAATGGCCAACACCATTAGGTCACACTTTCACATTCTTAACATATTCTTCCGTCATAGCTGTTTGCAAATCGTGTATAGCTTACAGTTAACTAGAAGGATTTGTATTCAGTTGTTGAGTTGACTGTTTTTCACTTTAGAGGTATCTATTTTACCCTTGTTAATGATTCTATATTATCATCCTAGTGAGTTCTCAGGTGTGATTTCGTACTATAGGGGATGCTAACAAGCATTTCAGAATGGTGGGGAATATTTTTGGCTCAGATTGTTAATGTTCAGATCTAGTTATTCTCTGAGCCAGGATTTTGGTTGACAAGGATACCAATTTCATGCTAAACATTGTCACCAAATAGTTAATCAGGTTGCACTCAGGCCAACTTCTATATTATGAATGCCTATGCAAAGGCTAAATCACTTCACTTCCTTGTGAATAACTGATGACAATATCTAACACAACACAGACACATTTATGGACTGAAACCCCATCTAATAAAACCTCGGTGTGGACAGAAATATCTCATTCAAGTACCTCAGACTAACATTCCCATCGTTATTTGTATATTTAAGTCACCTCAGTCAGCCTATTCAGCGATAGTAGTGGATATTATGAATAGTCATCAACCGCTGCCACTGTAACAAGCGTCAAGTAAACGAAACCATGTGGACTAAAGAATGTGGTTTCGGAAGAAGACTGTGCAGACATTTGATTCTGATCTTCGATTTTTTGTGAATTGTGCAACAAGGTTAGGGCAACTGAATACGTGTTGATACTCTTTTTTTCTCCTTTGAAGATGTAGTGGTTATTTCTAGAATTTTGTGACACGTTAGTCTATTTATTAGATTTTCACGAGTGGGTGAAGGGTTCGAAGCCTGCTCTAGTAACGGAGGCTTGGATAGCTTTATAGTATCAGTAATTCCTCCCTGCCGATCACATAATGGGTCTGATTCATTGCCTAGAACATAAACATGCAGATAATTACTAAGAGACTTCAATTTTATTTTTCAAGGGTATGTTTATTGAATTAATTCAGGGCATTCGTTTTTAAATTTTCAAGTTGTTATGTAGTTGGTAATGGTATGTGGTGAGACTGTAATTTGTTGCATTGAACACTCATCTTTTTTTCAACCATACAGTTCGAATGTGTGAATAATATTCAGTCTACTGGGGTTCTAATAGCTTGGTATTAGAAGGAGTTTAACTCATCAACCACACTTGTTTACATCTATCCATCGAAATCAACATAGGACCAGGCATAACTGCGTAACGGTTCGAGTTGTCACAGTTCATATCAGTACATCAAGTAAAAAGGCAGTGAGGCGCAAGATGAAGATAAGAAAATTCAGTCAAAAGAAATATGAAGTACTCAAAGAGAGAAAGGAAGAATAAGAAAATGGTGAGACTCGGTATAGCGTCGTTAAGATGAGATAATGTGTGTATACATCTGCACCATTGACATAGGTTCTGAGCCATATCACCTACAGTCTCCAACCACTGGTTTCTTTTGTCTCGCGGACTCCAACGGGCTTGTCTGCATCGCCCCACATGGCTTAAACCAACAGTCAGAGACTTCCTACTTTGATGCCATGTTTTCTAGCCTGAACCAACATTGTCTGACTAGGCATACGTAATACGTGTCCCAACCATCTCAGTCGATGAAGGTTCACAAGCGTATCAACTGACTTACCTCTTCTCCCTAAAACTCTTCACCTGACTTCTGCATTACTCACGTAGTGACACCACGGAATTCGGCCTATACTATGAAGACAACGGTGGTCAAACACTTGAAGCCTTCTCATGTCTTCCACCTTCAATGGCCATGTTTCACAGCCATACAGTAGAAGAGAGCAGACTGCTGTGCAGGTGCAGTACACGCGACCCTTAATAGACAAACGGATATCACGGCGGCGCCATAGGTGGCGTGAGTTGGCAAAAGCCAGCCAGCCGAGCCTTTTGTATCAGTGCGCAGATTTCATCGGCTACTAAGCCACCAGGGCTGATCCCACTTCCCAGGTAAGTGAAGTGGTTGACACACTCAACCACTACACTCACTATTGTTAGTCGTGGCACTATTGGAGACCAATCCTGGAGCAACAATTTGCATCTGGATGGTGAGGAACGCATTCCAAACATTCTCGAATTGACACTCAAAGTGTTCAGAAGACTGCATCTTGTCAGTGTCTACACCTAACAGAACTATGTCATCTGCATATTCTAGGTCTAACGAAAATCCTCGTGTGATTAGGTCAACATCTGTGTAGTCAGGTGACCAGAGGGAGATCTCCATAAGAATATCGATGATAAAATTCGCACACTTGTGTGAAGATTGATGATACTATTACACCTGTCTGCCCAAACCTCATAAGTGAAACATAACTGGAGTCTGTCACCCACCCATGGAAAATTTAATGCATGCATGTTATCTGGTTTTGTGTTTGAACATCTGTGACACTAACCATATTTATTATCGAAATGCTTAAATTTTCTTTTTCAATGTACATAATTACCCAGGAGGGATCATTTGCTCTGGCATGCAAAAGTCGTTATTACCCTGGTGAATGTGTAGTGGCAAGGCAAGTTAGTTTTTACAAAAGTTGTTTCTCTTTATGTAAAGGGTAGTTGCCTTCATTTTCAGATTATACAACTGACTCTTACCTGTAACTCCAAGGAGTATAGATGCATCCTTCAACTTTCTTAGTAATCTGATGCGCAGTGAAATAGAGAGGTGGTTTAGTTTAGACCTCGTAACTTTTAGCAGTAACACTTTTGGTCTATAAAACTTGAAAGTTTTAAATCGGCAGGAGTTTAGGACGTGGATTGCTGGGAGATCCTCAATCAAGAGAGAATATACGTTGACTACTTTGTTTTTATTCAGAGCGCTGGTGTTCACTGTGGCAAGTTGGATCAATATACAGTTATTTCAGGTCTTTGGATCCTAATATCTTTGTTGGATTTTCGCTAGTTTTATAAACCTGATTTATTTAATTAGTGGTAATGTATTGTTACAGCATAAACTGGAGATTAAAGTCAGAGAAGAAAAGTAAACTTGGGTCAATTGTCATCATTTTTTGGGGCCCATGTTCTTGAAACTACATGGAATGAGAAAGCATGGAAACCACGAGCTAAAAATGCTTCATTCTATATTGAAAGCTTTTTAACAATTTAACGGAAAACCTTTGATTTTGATGATGACTATGTTGTTATTAAGTTACTTGGCAAACATAATCAACAGTATACTATTCAGTATCAATCCAAGGTGTTAGCACCAGACAGGTGCACACAAAGGATATGATCGACGAAAGAAAAGCAAAAAAGGAGTAGTGATATCATGAATCGAGAAAGGAGATCAACATTCGCTTACACGGTTCAATTTAAAAGTCTTAGACCTCCTAGATTGGTAGCATGTCCAGGCGAACGCTTGCACAATGTATTCGACTCTTAATAGGTAATCGTATCTCATCAACACCACCAGTGGTATGCCTTATTGGAAACCTTTCTAACCTTTATTGTCCATGCCGAAATTCCTTCAGGGTTGATGTGACTTCTCTGATAATTGAAAGTGTTGGACGCGTTCAGCCACTTGACTTCCGATTGTGAGATTGATGCAAGCTATTTCTGAATGAAAATTCGTCCTTAGAATTAAGAAACGCACTATGAACATTTTAAAGGTTTTTAGAAGGCTGCATTTTATCAACTTCATCCAGCGAAACTGTCATCCGCATTGCTTCAAATCCATTAAGGAATGTCTGATTTGACGACCAATCTTTGCAAAGTTGAAATAGAGAAACAGTCACTTTTATGAGTAAATCTAGGATGGTATCAAATAAAAACTGAAGGAGTGAATACTATTTTTAGATCCTATTTGATGTGACTATCTCGGAGCATAGTTAACTGAAAGCTGTTATACGACTGCAGGTGTTTGAGCATAGAGAATTACTGCTATAAAGTCTAACAGTCACCATCTTTCTTATCATAAGTACTTTTTGCTATAATATGGTTTCTTGCTAAATGATCAAGGGTCCGTTAGACAATCCTGAGATTCTAAATTCCTGATTCTGGAGAATGGAGTCAAGGATTAGATTAATAGTTAGACTAGAATTGTGTTTTGTCTATAATGGATCATGGTTGAGGTGACTCTTAAATTGTCACAATTACACTAAAAGCTACCAAGTCACGAAATTGACACAAGATTGTCGTTATCGAAAAGCCGCACTAATAGTTATTCCTGATTTACTTGAAAATAATCCAAAGTGGTGAGGATTTTGAGATTGACCGACAGACAGACAATTCAACTTAGGACCTGGTACAAAAAACATTTCAAGCTACTACACTTCACAACAACATATAAACAAGGCGTGGATAGATAATGATGACATGAAAGTTGAAAAGTGTGTAATGAGGACAAGAAAAAGATGATAAAAGGCTAATGAAAATATCCAAGACTTCGAAGATAGTGAAGAGTGTATACATCTGCGCATCGGTGACCGATTTTAAGGCATATCGCCGAGAGTCTACAGCCATTAGTTTCTGTCGTCTCGGCGACTTAAGCCGGGCTGCCTACATCTCCCTACTCAACTCAGACCAACAGGTGAAGACTGTCATACAATTCTTTCCCTTGATAAATTCAAATAGAATGAGAATCATTTGATGCTTATTCAGTGTAGAATAATCCATGCTGCCGCAGGTTACGTGAAAGGGAAAAAGATTTTGTGACCAAAAGCCCATGGAATGTCTGCTTATGGCCTATCGAACACAGCTTTTTGAGGGTTGTTGGTTTTCGATTCGGTTGTTCTAACGCCGGACAGAAAAAACCCATACTGCCCGCATCGTAAGACTGCAGGCAAGAGAGGAGTGTGCTGTTTCTAGATCCAACCTTTCTTACCCTTTCTTCCCACCGGTAAGGCAGCATCAGCATGGCACCGCTGGTCATCTTCAGGGAGTACCTCACTGCTGTCAAAGGCCATCTCAAAGTCAATGAAGTTGAGGTAGAGAGTTGACTGCCATTCTATACTTTGTTCTATGATGATGCATAGTGTAGCGTTGCATTTTGGTCCGCACATGATTTGTACTTCCTGAAGCCAGCCAGCCTGTTCGGGTCGTAGTTTTGAATCCAGTGCATCCTTTAGTCTCTCCAGGATGATGCGGCATAATAGTTTGCTTGCTCGGTGTGGACAGGAGCATGATTCCTCGCCAGTTATTGCAAACACTGAGGTCTCCCTTCTTCGGGAGTTTGACAAGGTAACCCTTCTTCCAATCAACAGGCAGGTACCTTCTCTGCCTTCCACACCTTCTACAATAGTGGTGTGGTGTGAGCATGTCTGCTGTTGTCTCTGCGTTTGCTCTCAATGCTTCTGGCAGGATTCCATATGGTCCTGCTGCTTTCCCACATTTCAGTAGCTTTATGGAGCTGAGGACTTCCACTTTTGTTGGAGGATTTATGTTCACTTGTAGTTCAGCGTCTGGGCTGTAGGTGGTGTTTCTGGATGAAGTGTAAGTGGTGGTCAATTCAAGAGCTTTTCGAAGTGGTCAGCCCATCGTTTCCTTTGTTCCTCTTCTTTGGTAACTAGCTTTCCTTCGCTATCTCTCATTGGTTTCACCTGGGTTGATCTCTTCCGAGATAGTGAACTGGTTATTTGATACAGTGTTGTCAGGTCTCTGTCTCTCTTACCTGCAGTCTGTTCTGCTTCACTCACCAATGTGTCGTAGAAGTGTCTTTTGTCTTTCTGTGCACTCTTCTTCACCTCTTTGTCCACTGCAGTGTTTTATACATTGTACTCAGTTCCTCTTGTCATTCAGCATCCTTGCACTGGTTTATCTTCTGCTTCATCATCCTCCTCTCCCTGCCTGCTCTATCAGCTTCCATGTATTCGTCGAGATCCATTCCATTCCTTATCTTCTTTCTTCTTCCTTCCTAATACGTCTGTGCAGGTTTCTTTCCACATAGCTTTCAAAGAGTTCCAGTGTTCTTCCACACAGGTTTCTTCAAGGATGCTGCTCGATATCTCCCATTTTGTCTTGATGGCTGGTGGCCGTGAAGATTTCCTTTGTAGTTTCGTCCTTCACTTTCTGTTCTGGGTGTTCAACTTGAACTGTGGTCTATCACCAACTTCCTTGAAGGCTTTTAACTTGATTTGGATGGTTGTTTGCTCTAAATAGTGAGTGGTCCGAGCATACATCTGCTCCCCTTCTTGACCCTTCTTGTGTCAAGTAGACTGCGTCTCCACTTTCTTGAGATTGAGATAAAGTCGATCTGATTTTTGGTGTGTCCTGGTGTCTGGTGAAATCAAATCCATGTTACTTTATGGATATCCTTGTGCTTGAACACACTGCATGACTCCAATCACCAAGTCGTTGAATGCTTAGGATTCTGCGAACGATTCCTCATTCTCGTTCATCACCTCACCGAGTGCTTCTCGACCCATGGTTAGTTCCCTTCCTGTATTGTCCACTCCCAGTTTGGCATTCATGTCGCCACACCCATTAGAATTTTGATGTCTCCAACTGGGATGGGGTCTTGTCCAGTGTTGATTGAAGTTGTCTGTAGAATTCCTCCTCCTTCCCTTGATCTGCATTATTTGTATGTGCGTAGCATAGCATTGAATGATTGTGACTTTCCTTCCTTTTGAGTTGAACCTTGCTGTCATGATTCTGATGCTGGAGGAGATTGGTTCCGACTGTATGAGAGAGAGCCTTTGATGCTGTTGGAGACATCATGATAGCCACTCTAAAACTCAGTGTGCTCGTGGTTGTCGTCTGGGTGACGATGTCGGAGTAGATTATTGACTCATCTCGAGTTGACAGTTAGGAGAGTCCACTCCCATTCCACCTGCTTTCGCAAATTCCAAGCACTTCAAACCATACCTTCTCATCTCGTTTTAAATCTGGGTAGCCTTGCTGGGTTCAAACATGGTGCGGAAATTCCATGTCCCCTCGTTTACTTTCGCTTTCATTGAGAGAGAGAAGACACATCGGCCAATTGGCTTCCCGAAGTCTTTCACCAACCGGCGTCATTTCGTCTCCCCAATTCCAGCGAGGAATAATTTTGTTATTATTGTTTGTATTTGTTTGTGCTTGAAGCTTCTTTAGTGGTTAGATTTGTTTTATGGGGTAGGATTGCTAGCCCTATGCCCAACCTTCCCTCTTTATGTGGGCTTATGACCGGCTAGTTACTAGTGAACTAGTTAGCCGGGCGAGGTTGGATCTCTATCATAGCGTCGCAATTTAATCGATAATGGTAACGACTTTTCATCTTAGCAACTTACCTTTCTGTTATTATAAAACCTTTTGGGAACAAGCGTTCCAGCCAGTGTACCTTTTTGGGTCGTTGTGGTATGCAAGTCCGACCACCACATCAAGGCAACAGCTATTCTGCTAAAACTGTTACTCTCGTTCTATTTCAAGTTGAAGACTTCATGGATTAGCGCCACTTCTTAATCTGATCACCCTTTGCTTTTTCGCAAACTTATTCTATTTTACCAAATCATAAAAGTATGAATATTAATTATATAATCATGGTTATGAATTGTGTATTTTAAGCTCATAACTAATGAGTATATCAGTTGCCTGGCGCGCATTCATCTCGACGAAAACAATAAGGCGTAATTCCTGTGAAATACATAGTACATTTATTTAGTATATCTTAAACAATATGATCACTCTTTCAATCACACGTGATGCGTTTTTGGTAAATCAGAACAAAGTGAGGTCAAAGCAAGAACAGGTCACAATGTGCATCAAAAGATTAAACTGTTTATTAAGGTCAAATAACAATTGATTTTTTACAGCTTCACTCCAGGTTGGGTTCGACTTCGGTTGCCAACAGTTGTAGTATTCAGATTATCTAGTCTACTAATGATCATTGTTATGGTGTTATTTTTTAAGCTAAATCATTAAAAGTTCTCAACTATTGATTCTTTTCATCTCGAGGACTTTTAACCTTCTTGTAACACAATCCTACTTCGGCTATCAGTGTATGTTAAGTTAGTTAGCTACTTAATATGTGCAACACATACATGTCCAAGCTACTGTAGTTGATAAGAGTTCCTAACGTCAACATTATTGTTCATATGGGGGTTCCACGGTATTCAATCAGAAACTGTTACCGCCTTATGCATTCCAACTTCAATGATCTTGTCATACATTTATGTAATAGGCCAGCAAACTAATACACAGCGTACTGATCCTTTTATAGATAGTCGGGCAGTGTAACAACCCGCCGGTGTGGCCTTAACTGGCAAATGTCAGACAATCCATTTCTATCATAGCTGAGATTTTACCAGTGAGCTTCTAGTCAGGAGCTGATGCAAATTCTTAAGTAAGTGAGGTGATCAACACGTTCCACCACTTCACTCCCTATCCTTAAATTAGAAGTCGATGTAGGTCAGTTGTAAAGCATCATCTTACATTCGACGGGTGAGAAATGCGTCCCAAGCATACTCAGGTAGTTTGCTCAAGGGAAATAGAAGACTCCGTATTTTATCAGCATCTTCGCCTAACGGGACTAAGTTATGTGTACTTTTAAGTGCCTTTCGCATACTATGTTCATACCCTTAAAATTCTAAGGTAAGTTAATGTTTATCAGCATATTCATAACAAAGTTAAATAAGAGTTGTGATATTTAATTTCACAATTAGTGTCTTCCTTTCTTTGCCTCACATCTTTTTATATTTTTTTATTTTCCTCTTTGTTTTTATAGACGTGGTTCACCAATGTTAATCGGCATTAAAAGTCCACATGAATTGACAATGAATCATATCCCAGTATTTTATAGACCAAACGGTATGTGATTCTAATTTCAATTGAGCTTTTTCTAATACCTTCAATGCTTTCAACTAGATCCATACTAACGGTGATCTAAAGCATTCTGTGCATGACAATCAATAGATTTGGATCAGTACTCAGTACTTTCGAAACAAGGAGTGATAGGCTTTCACTCCTACATAGCTCATTGGCTCAAGTATTCGATTTTTAAACAGTGTTAGTCTTGGGTTCAAAAACAGTCCCACCTACTTCGGTCTGGACAACCTGGTAGTAAGTATTATATGTCCGAAAACAACAAGTGTAGCTGATAGTGGTAGTAGATAAACATTCATAATGGACTGAGTTCCACTATGCGGTTGACCCATGGTTTATTGGTCTAGAAAGTTGACACCCGACCATTGGATTACAAGGTTTGAACCCCACTAAGGTCTGAGCAGTCAGTCAGTATCATTATCCCGCATACAATACGCGTGATGAACTACCTAGTGTATGCGCATGGTTGCTGATAGAGTTTGATTTTGTAGTTTTCTTCACTCGTGCCTAACTCATTATTGTTATCATTATTGTTGAGGTCGATTGACCTTAAAAAATAATCCGTGACAAACTAGGTCGTATTATTGTCATAATCATTTTGCACCTAATGCTGATAATGTTTTACCTCCGATATTAATAATTAGAAAAAGAGATTAGCTACTTTTTCATAACATTTCTATGTACAAAGATCTATGTATGATGTATTATACGGTGAAATTGACATATTATTAACTGAAGTTGAAATGGAAATCTGGGCGACAGCAGGATTCGGACCAGTGGCCTCATGGCTACACAGCCAATATGAATACAATGAATAGATATAGTAGCGCATCACGAATACACATGGCAGTCGTCGCGCAAAACTCTTGATGATTGAAGTGAAATAAAAAATCCGGCCAGCTGTCAGGTCTCGTAGCTCAGTTGGGATACCATTAGACCGGTAACCTCGGAGGTCATTGTTCCGAATCCTACCGCGACCCAACTTTTTATTTCACCTTCACCTAGTATCAATAATACAAGTCTGCCAAATCAGGGCTATCTCAGATATTCAGACTGAAAATTGCTTATTCTATTTTTTTATTTATTGAAAAAAAAGACAACCTATTTTTACAGCTGTTCAATACTTAAGTCATACGTGTACCACTTTGTTCGCATTTCATTTCAGTAAAAAATTGGGACGGAAAGGAAGATTCGCACAATTTTAAACGTTTGTGTAGTTCATGTAAGCTAATTTATTTACTTGTTTTAACTTTTTCTAATTTGTATGTTTTATTTTCTCCACGGGGAATTAAGTTTTTTGATATCAACACTAGTCTGCAAAATTTCAGTGAGGTTTGCGGACAGCTTATTAATTTGGAATTATTTTTCAGTGTTAACTGACTTAGTTATGGCTAGCAGTGGAATCTAAGACTCACGTTTCATCTCACTTGGGACTCATCAGCTGTATGTATCTGCACCCCAGTACAAAGTGATTTTGTCCTCATCGAAACTCGAACCTTGCACCCATCGCTTCAAAGACCAAAGCGTTATCTACAAGAGGTCATTATTCACTGTCGTGTCTCTTGGTATGATTATAAAAAGCTCCTGAACTTTCTACTGGTCCAACTGCCGACTTATTTCGTTCCAGCTGCGGTTAGCGAAACAAACTCTTCGTACTCGTGTGTATGGTCCACTGTTACAAAAAATAACTGCGGCTTCAGTCATTTCAAAACAAAGTGACACTGACTTGAATCTTTGAGAGGAAGATGAGTTCTCTCAAAGCAGCGTTGACGACAACCAGCGAGGATAAAATTTGAGTCGAGTAGACTATCTTCTTTGCTGACTCTTAAGACTTATCATCACTGCGTGGCTGCATTACACACTTTATCAGTTGATTTGATCAACAGTTAAAGCATTATAGTTACCTCGATTGTTATTGGTTGACTGCTTCCTGCATATTTTATTCATTTTCGGTAGTCATTTTGTGTGTATACCTGTCTACCAGGTGGGGATACATCGCTTAGGTTTTCCTAGTGTTAACATTATGCTTGACATGGGAGTTCTAATTTTGTTGCGACGCAGGTTTATATTTCACCTTCAATTATCGCTTTCTATGGGTAATTCCGGCCTTCTAAGTTATGGCTGTCTCGGATAATCTTAGGAATAACATTATGCTTATTGATTAATAACTTTACTATTCACTATTTCTATCCTTTTATTTCAACTGGTTTCCATTTTACTATTTTCTTTTCCTTGCTTCTACTACTATACTATATATGAAAGCTCCAAACACCACGTACAATATTCGACCTTTAGTCAATGGTGATGAACATTCAGAGGTAACAGAATCACTACCAGATCAAGTGACACATTTCTTGAGTGGTGCAGACGGTCATCGGGAAATCGAATTCTTTTTCGCAAGCTGTGCAAGGTAAAGCTGTCTGTCTGTCTGTCTATAAGAGCTTATTAAGCGTATTCGCATTATTTTCATTCCACTATATTGTGTTTATGTACTTGTATTTCTGTGTGTGAATTCTAATCCGTCTAACTTTTAATGTGGGGGGCTTGTGTAGACCTAGTGATTTTTCAAGTTGGTATTCATCGTGGAATGATATCAGTTGAAGGAGCATTAGAAATCTGGGAGCACTGGGCAGGTGTTTCGTCCCAGTATTGGGACTGCTCAGCAGTGCACATCCATGACCCCGCCAGGAATGCAACCTAGGACCTTCGGATTCTGTGACCAGCACATTACCATTGAGTCAATGGTCCATATTCCCAACTTCTATCAGTTCACAACATAGCGCGACCATCACCCGATATTATCGTCGAGTGTTTATCCTCATGGCCACCAGGTTTGTCCCACCGGTGACTACTTCTCATTGGAACTTCAGGAATCACCTCTAGAAGCTAGTCACCAATGAGAACTAGATCAGTTGAATTTGGAGGGTTTGTGGGGCTTTAGTGATGTCAGTTCATGATGAATACCAAACTGAAAAAACATCTAACTTTGGCCTGAACAGTTGAATATATTGGATATAGTTCAGCGCATTTTCCTATATTTCTTGATAAGGCATATCATACGCTGCTAGGCGTGAACAGTAGCCTATCATATTCGATTATCCCATTTAGGAAAACTGAAAATTTAAAAGCTTCACGATAAGAGCAAGTTAGTTTTCACGAACACTTTTAAGTAGGATTCATAGCTTTCATAGCCAATGAGTGCAAGACATTCTGACATCAAAACTAACAGTGTAAAATCCAACATACTCACTACATAACTTAACGGCAAGAAGATTTGCGAGTAGGTTGAATGAGAGAATGACACATCGTATTACGAAGGTCACCTTCGAATAGCAGCAGGAGTTTTTAACCCAACGTAACACCTTATAATTTGCCAACTTACAGATTAGTAGACTTGCTTACCATTTGGCAGGCTCATGCTAAGGACAATTTCTACACATACATTTAGACTCATTATAGATCGAAAGGAATCAATAGTGATCAGGTTGTAGTTCACGCAATTCAAGTGTACGGACTTGTTAAATATTGGTTATACGTTTCCCTGATGAGAGTCCACTGTCTGCCTTCATGTGTTTAGTGAAAATTGCCAATTTAAACGCCATGATGAGTTCGAATAAGTTGTAGAATTTCGCAGAACAACTAATGCCTAACTAACCGACTGAGTAGAACAGTGTCAGTCAAACAGTGTTGACAAGGGGGATCAAAAGTACTTCGTAAGTATTTAATTTGCCACACCTCACATCGAGATACAAGGCAACTAGATGGAAGACAGAGAAATGGAAATAATACGATCAAAATTCGTGGGAAACCAATACGAGTAGAGGATTTGCTGTAAATAGTGAAACAGTGTAATGGCTAAAAGAGCAATCAGCATATTGTGATGCTTTTGTGCCTCTGCAACCAATTCTGAACTCACTCATCAAAAGTTTCCAAACAGCAGTATCGTCTGCCTCGTGGATGCTAATCACACAGTAAGAGACTTTATGGATGAAGACTCACGTATTTTCTGACCTCCCTTAACGTTTTCCCGACCTAACGTTCTTTTGGCTAACATCGTGTGTCAACCTAAGTGGTGTCTGGGTATGACTCAACTAAAGCAAGTTTTCGACCTTATAAACTGACTTTTTTTATATTTAACTTCTAAACTACTAATGTGATGGTCTCACGAAACTCGACCAATACTTCTCAGGGATCTTTGGTTGAACACTTCTAGCGCATTCTTATCTCCTCCACATTTTACTGGCCATGTTTCACAACCAGTAGGAAAGAGTAGATTGTGTGGCAAACCGCATAACATAGATAATGCATGAAAACAGGATTACAGCTCTACTAAAAACTGACTTATGCACTTGGTTATAAGATATGTTTGTTGTGTGGGGTCGATGCTTTTATCTAACCTTCCAAACCTTGGTAAAAGATGATAGAGCTGAGTTAGAAAGCGTTGCCGATTGGTTGAAAATGAAACAACTAAAGCACTAAACCACCGATAGGTTCATTTGCAACATTGCAAATTATGATAGCTTGTACATTGGATCACTTAATATTTACAATCATTGAGGATTCCGACTGGCAAGCTCACGATTTCGTAAATGGCTGAAGCGACTGTCAATAGCTTCACATATGTATGTTTTGTTGTAAACCGATAAGCCTCTAATATTTTTTGCTTCATTCTGTAACTAAATTTTTAATTAGCATTGCCAATGATGATGCAATCAATAGATTATCTACTCTGCTATTTTTCCGTACAACGTTTTCTTTTCCAGCGCGTTAATTGAGCACACTGACAAAGTTATATTTTTAGAAGATGATGATTTAGCAGCTGTTCGTGATGGTCAACTGACAATTCATCGTTTATCAAGAGGTGCGTCAGCCACGCGTGAAGTTGTCACTCTGCAAATGGAATTGCAGCAAATTATGAAAGGTAGGTGATACCGATATTGATCGGAAATTTAAGGGTAAGGATAAAATCTAAATGAAACATAACAACTATGGGCATATTCGTGCAGTAGGCAATGAGCCACACTTATTGTGTAAGGAATGGTAGCCAAAATCTGTATAAAGGGAGTGGGGTTCGAACACATGGTTCATGTGTTGATAGTCACCTACCAAGACCAATGAACCAAAGTTTTATTAATTTGGTTGACAGTCAAACTGAAATCGACGCTATCTAAATTGTTGATTGATTGATGGGTTCTTGTAGAGAAGCGTGGATTATCGAATATCTGTGCACTATTTGATCAAAGGTTGGAGAACTGTACTGCACTACGTCTAGAAACGTAGAATACCATTAACCCTTACACAGTTTGTGTAATGGCTTAATATATATGAGTCTGTATGTGACTGTAGAGTTACATTTAATCTGCCGATTGGCCGTTAATATCTTATGGTAGATTAGGTTTCAGTGGATCGTTTTATTAGTTTTAAGACTGCTGGATAATTCAATTGATAATTTTTAGGAATTCAGTGATTTCAAAGTAGTTTTCACCACAGATTGGCATCAATTGGAGAACCTAAAAACACTGAACAGCTATTGTCTCCTAATTTTTGATTCGTCAGCAGTGCACACCCACAGTCTCACAAGAGATCGAGACCAAGGTCCCCACACCTAATGTTGAGCATGTTACCATTCAGCAACAGATTCAGTATCCTTTGGTCCAAGTTTTCTAACTTCTGTTGATATGCTCATTTGTGGTTTATCAAGGAGGTGTGACTCAAAAGCTATGGCTTATTGCCTACTGCATGAATATACATAAGGCTGCTGAGAACATTTCGATTTTTCTATTTGTCAGCCAGGAGTATCTGTCAACTTACCACCGAAAATATGTGTAAAGATTCGATTGAAACATTAGAAAGTCATCATTTTTATTGGAACCTACGTAAACTGGTGGTAGTAACATCGTATGACCCTGAAAAGGATGTTTTTTTTATAAGAAACTGATTTCTGAACTCACGAACACATTCATGGTGGATTACAACTCAACCTTTTAGATTAATTAGTTCACCAAATATTCCGTCAAGTAACCACCACCCATCCCGTATTTATTAGCGATGCATTTTTATGGGTTATAACGTGTAATGGCGTTGCGTCTTAAGGAACTTTGTGTATCAGCTCCGACACAGATCTAATTTCATACAATGAGCAATTTATGTAAATTAACGACCACTTGGAGATTTATACATTATGTTGCAAGTCGCACCTGTTTCACGAAGGGTAGTATTATTATCTGACTGTTTTAGGTTTGTTAAGTGGAGCAAGGTTCCAATCCGTGTCCCACTAAGGATTAATCAACTATGTAAGCCATTGAGTCACAGTTTGGAAAATGTTAATTCTCAATTTAACGTCAGGTGACATCACAAAACAATGAAATGCACTCAGCCACCTTGTAGACAGTAGACAGTAAGCCACACTTTTTGTGTGAGGGCTAGTGATACTACCTGGCTCCCCATACCTCGGTAGGCGGGGCGAGGTTCGAACCTATGACCCACCGACCGTAAGTCAACTGCCTAAACTACTAAAAGGCTAACAAACCGTTAGACTGTCTGCTCTACACTATAATTAGATAAGATAGAATTTAGATTCAAGTTTTTCATTTTGATACTGGTATACTTCATGTCCAAAAATATGATGCTGTTTAATATGCTACACTTGAACGGACTCGCACTGGAAACGAATTCCTGGATACCTTATTTTGATCCGTAATCCAAGTTAGAACAAGACAAAGCAGGAAGGAACTGAATGCTTTTATTGTTGTTCTAAAGTGATGGTGATGAAGAAGAAAATTCATGCTCAATTTTTCTAGTGACTGTGCGAATTGACTATCTGAAGACTTAGAACTTTGCAGAAGTTCAAATTTTTTGAAAGTGTAATTGAAAAAAGTTTGGTTTCCCAACAGTTTCTTGTCAATTTTTCGTCAAATAATGGTAATATTTTCTAACAGATACATTCGAATAACGAAAATGAATATCATGTCAAAAGTGGTCGCGTAGCCAATGGATGAAAATTAACGTCATTAGAGTTGATTGATCCTGTAGGGGAAAAGGGCGCAGAAAAAACCCAATCTGCATAAGGCAATCCGTAGAGAATTTAAGGATCTGTTCTGGGGACCAGAAATTCTTTAACAAGTATAATAATCTTGAGTTAAAATCTTTTGAATTAATGTGATCTGAAGTAGTCCTAGAAATTAGGGTCCATATAATAACAGCTACTCTATCCTCCAACTAGAGTTGTTATTTATACTCATTCTATATCGTTTTTGGGGTCAAGGACACCACTCCTAACTATCGGGGTAAACAAATTGTTGCTCGTATATCATGCCGATTTCTACCGGCTGTTATTTCCTAACTTCTCGTGGAAACTAAGTTACCGTGTTATTACCGTGGCATATTAGTAACTAGTTTCATAGGGGGGTGGGGAGTAACGAAATTATTACAAGAAACCTTGATCTATGTGAGCGGAAGTCTGAGTAACAGACAGGAAAACAAAGATTAAAAATCGATCGACTCTTTGCAGTCGTTTATCGCTTCACATTGTTGCACTTCTTATCACTACATCTACAGGGTTGTCAACAAAATTACTGATAATCTATAGCGGTAAAGAATCATGGGAAAGGAACGAAAGAAAATAGAGAGAAAAGGGCGAAAATGTATGCATAGATTGGTGGGTTAGCGGCGATTTCGTATTATTTACCCCATAGTGCTGATCAAATTATCTAGCTAAGAGATTTAACATCCTGGTTCGTTTTTGTAGATGATATAGGGGTTGTAGACAACCATCAGAAATCCTTGAACCTAGGTGTCAGACTTATTGGGATTTATCTCCAAGTAAGAGGGGGCTGATGCCCGACAACAGTTTCCAGCCCACGTCACAGTGCTGTATTTAGAGATGTTAGCATTGAGCTGTTTGAGCTTTAACAGATGAAAAGTGGCAAAAAATAGGAAACCTAGGTTCAGGGCTTCCTGTCAACTACCTCTAACCTTCAACAGCTTATAGTATACTGAAGTTGTTTAAGATTTCATGAAGAAGAGGTAGGAAACAATATGTGGATGAATTCAATCTGCTACAACTGATTTCGAATTGTTATTTAAAGTTGCGAATCATCTATTTCAACATTAATATTACTTACAAGGTGGTCCCATTGTAATATGAACAGTACTACAGAGACACTTATTATTTAAAACATGTGACTTCCTCTTATGTGTTACTTTTAACGATCGTATCTCAAAGCCTTGCGTTAGGACAAAGCAGACTGTTGTTCAGTATATTTGTCCTTTGATAAGCAGTTGATTATCGGAGACTGAGTTACCTGACAAGTCTTAAATGGACTTTTCGTATCAGAGATGAGATTTCGTCCCCAACCGGGCCATCACAGTTGATATGACTTTCCAAGTAAGTGAAACTGTCGACACATCCCACCACTCCACTACTTACCCCTAAAGTACAAGCGTCACCTTATGTTTGATAAGTGACGCTTCAGGATTGATCTGTACTAACTTCGAGATCAATTCTGAAGACTGGTTTCTGATGCCGGATTTCAGCCACACTTTAGTGTTTTCATTTAGAGTAAAACAAAGATTAATATCTCTTCGTTGTTCAAGTAATTCTAATGGCATGCTTTCTAGAAAGGTCTTAGTGGTTATTTCCAGACTGGCAGTAAAAGCTCCATCACTTTAATGCTGGACATATAGTGTTTTGGACTACATCATCTGAAGCCATGGGCACTGTCTACGAATCTCAGCGAGGATATCATCACTTACTGGAAGTGCAGTTACACGTTCAGCTGATGAGTCCCGAACAGGACGAAACGCGCGTCTTGGGTTCCACTGCTAGTCACCAAACAGACTACATCATATGAACACTTTTAGTCTGACCAATGCTCAGTCGGTTGAACGAACTGTCATGAATTTAACTCACGTATTGTACATTTCCAAAGAAATTTATTCTCTTGTTCATTTATTTATTTATTTTTCAGGCAATTATGATTATTTCATGCAGAAGGAGATTTTGAACAACCAGACTCAGTTTTAAACACAATGAGAGGTCGAGTGAAATTCGACATGAATACAGTGAAATTGGGTGGTCTAGCAGAACATCTAAGTGCAATACGTCGCTGTCGTCGCCTGATATTCATTGGTTGTGGAACTAGTTATCATAGTGCAGTGGCGGTAAGTCAACTTGTTGACCTTTTCCCCCTTTGTATAGGGTTAACTTCACATTTCATAAACTATGCTATGTCAGTGTTATGAACAGTGTTTTATAATTTGAATATTAGACTGTTGTTGAATAATTACAGTTAGTAACTAACTTGCGATTTGTCTCCTCTAGTGAATATTCGCCCCCTGCATGGTATTCTACTCCTTATCGGCCGTAACCGCAGTACGAGGTGTGGCTGATTAGACTAAGGACTCGACTTTCAACCAATTACTTTCCAGTTTTCATCCATCCCACCTATATCGACTTTGACCACCTGGTAGTATCATAAACTCCAACACGCATCAAGTATGGCTTACTGCTTACTTTTTAAACCGGTACGCGGGAGCTGAGTTGCATTATTGTTAATAATTTCTTTTACAGTCGGTAAAGTTAAAGCAGTTTGTATTGCCTTCTCAGGGTAGTGTATTCATTCATCTATTTCATTGGTTCGACAAAAAAGTGTTTTTCGATTCATATTGTTGGTGGTTCTTTCTTAGTACAGGACCGCAGCCATAGATGGTCTCCCATCGGTTGATTTCAATCACATAATGTCAAAAAACTTCCTATGGAAGTTATTCTCAACAATTTTGTATTTTAGTGTGTTAAGTGTTTGGAGTGAGTTGCCAGAAAGTCCTGTACTTAGGGTTTTGAGACTTCACTGATTCGTGGTACAGGTCCGAATTATCTGAGAAACGCCAGTTTCCTCATGATTGCCAATGATTGCGAAGAAGCATGAAACATAGGTCGAGCAGGCGTTCCTGTCGGTTGAATCCTAACATCTAACACACCAAGATACAATGCATCATGGTTCCGCATTACTTAACGTTGTGGGCTCAGTACAAAGCTTGATCGATGGATTTGAATCAGTACTGAACACTAAGATCTAGACAGCTATGTCGGTTATCCACTGATAACTAGTTTATTAGTTACTAGCCGGTCATAAGCCCACATAAAGAGGGAAGGTTGGGCATAGGGCTAGCAATCCTACCCCATAAAACAAATCTAACCACTAAAGAAAATTCAAAGCACAAACAAAATACAAAAAATAATAACAAAATTATTCCTCGCTGGAATTGGGGAGACGAAATGACGCCGGTTGGTGAAAGATTTCGGGAAGCCAATTGGCCGATGTGTCTTCTCTCTCTCAATGAAAGCGAAAGTAAACGAGGGACATGGAATTTCCGCACGATGTTGAACCCAGAAAGGCTACCCAGATTTAAAACGAGATGAGAAGGTATGGTCTTGAGGTGCTTGGAATTTGCGAAAGCAGATGGAATGGGAGTGGACTCTCCTAACTGTCAACTCGAGATGAGTCAATAATCTACTCCGACATCGTCACCCAGACGACAACCACGAGCACACTGAGTTTTAGAGTGGCTATCATGATGTCTCCAACAGCATCAAAGGCTCTCTCTCATGCAGTCGGAACCAATCTCCTCCAGCATCAGAATCATGACAGCAAGGTTCAACTCAAAAGGAAGGAAAGTCACAATCATTCAATGCTATGCTACGCACATACAAATAATGCAGATCAAGGGAAGGAGGAGGAATTCTACAGACAACTACAATCAACACTGGACAAGACCCCATCCCAGTTGGAGACATCAAAATTCTAATGGTCGACATGAATGCGAAACTGGGAGTGGACAATACAGGAAGGGAACTAACCATGGGTCGAGAAGCACTCGGTGAGGTGATGAACGAGAATGAGGAATCGTTTGCAGAATTCTGTGCATTCAACGACTTGGTGATTGGAGTCATGCAGTGTGTTCAAGCACAAGGATATCCATAAAGTAACATGGATTTGATTTCACTAGACACCAGGACACACCAAAAATCAGATCGACTTTATCTCAATCTCAAGAAAGTGGAGACGCAGTCTACTTGACACAAGGTCAAGAAGGGGAGCAGATGTATGCTCGGACCACTCACTATTTAGAGCAAGGAATCTTCAAATCAAGTTAAAAGCCTTCAAGGAAGTTGGTGATAGACCACAGTTCAAGTTGAACACCCAGAACAGAAAGTGAAGGACGAAACTACAAAGGAAATCTTCACGGCCACCAGCCATCAAGACAAAATGGGAGATATCGAGCAGCATCCTTGAAGAAACCTGTGTGGAAGAAGAACACTGGAACTCTTTGAAAGCTATGTGGAAAGGAACCTGCACAGCCGTATTAGGAAGGAAGAAGAAAGAAGATAAGGAATGGAATGGATCTCGACGAATACATGGAAGCTGATAGAGCAGGCAGGGAGAGGAGGATGATGAAGCAGAAGATAAACCAGTGCAAGGATGCTGAATGACAAGAGGAACTGAGTACAATGTATAAAACACTGCAGTGGACAAAGAGGTGAAGAAGAGTGCACAGAAAGACAAAAGACACTTCTACGACACATTGGTGAGTGAAGCAGAATAGGCTGCAGCTAGAAGAGACCTGACAACACTGTATCAAATAACCAGTTCACTCTCTCGGAAGAGATCAACCAGGTGAAACAATGAGATAGCGAAGGAAAGCTAGTTACCAAAGAAGAGAAACAAAGGAAACGATGGACTGACCACTTCGAAAAGCTCTTGAATTGACCACCACTTACACTTCATCCAGAAATACCACCTACAGCCCAGACGCTGAACTACAAGTGAACATAAATCCTCCAACAAAAGTGGAAGTCCTCAGCTCCATAAAGCTACTGAAATGTGGGAAAGCAGCAGGACCATATGGAATCCTGCCAGAAGCATTGAGAGCAGACGCAGAGACAACAGCAGACATGCTCACACCACACCACTATTGCAGAAGGTGTGGAAGGCAGAGAAGGTACCTGCCTGTTGATTGGAAGAAGGGTTACCTTGTCAAACTCCCGAAGAAGGGAGACCTCAGTGTTTGCAATAACTGGCGAGGAATCATGCTCCTGTCCACACCGAGCAAGCAAACTATTATGCCGCATCATCCTGGAGAGAGACTAAAGGATGCACTGGATTCAAAACTACGACCGGAACAGGCTGGCTGGCTGGCTGGCTTCAGGAAGTACAAATCATGTGCGGACCAAATTGCAACGCTACACTATGCATCATCATAGAACAAGTATAGAATGGCAGTCAACTCTCTACCTCAACTTCATCGACTTTGAGAAGGCCTTTGACAGTGTCGACCGAGAGGTAATTTGGAAACTGCTTCAATACTACGGAATACCGCAAGCCTTTATCAATCTCATTGAACAACTATATGAAGATGCCACATACCAGCCAAGTAATTCACAATGGGAAGCTCAGTGATGCTTTTGAAGTGAAGACAGGAAGGAGTAAGACAAGGCTGCCTACTATCACCCATGATATTCCTGATTGTGTTGTGGTCGACTGGATCATGCAACAAACAGTAAGGAACTGTGAGAAGAGGGGGATACGCTGGCTGGACCGAGGAAAAGATCCCAGAAGATTTGTATTTCGCCAGTGATGACTTGTGTCTGTTGTCTTGTCACACAAACTGGAAGATCTACAGGCGAAAATTAACAAGTTGTCAGAAGAGGTGAGGCAGTGAAGACGGGACTTCAAGTGAATATAGAGAAGACAGAGGTGATGAAGATACCCCACCAACAACAACAACAACAAACTCCAATCACCAGCAACGGGAGGAACTTAAAGGAAGTATCCTCCTTCACCTATCTAGGCAGCACTGTCTCAACTACAGACACCACAGGCACAGACGAGGATGTCAAAGCCAGTCAGATTCGGAAAAGCAAGACAGGCGTTCATTAGCCTGAAACCAGTATGGAGATCTTCTGTACTGCACTCAGCATAAAGCGTGAACAACATCCGGATTTTCAACACCAAATTCAGTCAAGTCAATGCTCCTGTATGGTTGAGAGACTTGGCGCATTACCAAAGGGATTTCCAACAAACTACAGACATTGATCAACAACTGCCTACGCTGGCTCGTTACTGAAGATCAGATGGCCAGAATAATAAGAATAAGCAACAAGGAACTCTGGCGTGGCAACGAACCAACCAAGAAACTATCGCTGAACAAATATGCAGTGGAAGGAAGTGGAGATGGATTGGATTGGGCATACACTGAGAAGGCTGACTGGGGACATCACGCGTCAGGCGAGTTGCTCGAGTGGAACCGCGATGGGAAGGTACGAGTTGGGCTTCCGAGGTGAGGGTGACATGGAGGATATCGTGCGAGGAGGAAATGAGAGGTTGTGGGCTGTTGTGGAGCCAGGTTGAAAAGAATTCAGAGAACAGAGTTCAGTGGAGACGTGCTAGTGAAGCTCTATGTTCCATTAGGAACCCAAGGGACTAATAATAGTAATAGTATTTTAATTAATTTAGCACTAAATGTATGTAAATAAGTGTTATTACTACCACCTCATTCACTTTTGGAGTTCCCTCACTGCAAATGGGTTGACGAAATTTGAAGTTGGATCATGAGGTTCCGTTTGACATTTAGCAACATGCGTCATCTCTAGCGTTGGCTGATAAGGTATTCGGCTGTCTGTGAAAGGATGAGTAAACTGCGCTGCAGTTCTGACCCGTTGTACGGCTGCGAGATATGGACGTTAAAAGTAGAAGGTATGAAGCGGTTAAAGGGTTTTGGTCTCAGGTGTCTTCACAACACTACTCACGTTTGGTGGAATCACCATGTGAGGATTGTTCAGGTCAGTGAGACGATGGAAGGCAAGGAAGACAAGTCGATTGATGAGATTGTGAAGCTTCTTCGACTGACTTGAGTTGGATATGTACTGCGCACGCGAAGCAGTCGCCCACACCGACATCCTATGCTAGGGGAACGTGGATTAGGTTGGAAGAGGGTTGAGAGTGGCCAGACGAAGATGTGACACCAGTCGATGAAGTCTCTGAGTATTCGTTTGAGCCGTGTGGGTGATGTAGACTACGTGATTGGAGTCCCCAAGACGATAGGAATCAGTGTTTAAGGACTGTTGATGACATGGCTGGAAATCGGTCACACTTGTGCAGATATATTAACCCCTTGACGTCTGCTAAACCTTGAATATCTGTGCTAACCTTCATTTTCAAATTCCTTCTCCTCCATACACCTTTGTCTACCCTGATGTCATTCTTTTTCTATCCACTTGCTCCTCGTATTCTACTATGAAGTGTGACAACTTGAAGTGATGCACTTGTGTGCGAGGTTCTACGTTGCTTTTATTTGTCTATCACATATAGAAAGTAAGCAGTCATCAACCTTGTGCATGTTTGGGCATTAGTCAATGAACTACGTGACCGGGCTAATGAACGATTCTATCTGACTGCCCAAACCTCAGTAGATGGGGTGGTGTTTGAACCTGTGATTCAGTGGTCGAAGGTCCTTCCCCTAAACCACTGAGCTACAGCTCCACTGTCTATCATATTAGGTAGCCACACTTTCTGGCAACCACAAAAAGAATTGTATTGTACACAACAAGAGTCCATGTGACAAGAGAGGGAATATATAATTGAAGTGTGTGTATACATCTACGCCTCTGTGATTAGTTATGTACTTTATCACAGGAAGAGAGAATCTTTGATCATCTTATACCTTCTTACATGTCTCACATTGTTAGTTAGAAGAATATCATCGATCTGTTCCACATCTTGAACTGACCACCTTAAACTTTCTATAGTTGACATCGTACGTTAAGGTGGGCGCTTAACTACAAAAGTCAGTGTTGGTCATTGAAGTATGGTCTTATTGTGCTGATCACTAAATATTGCGAACAAGACAGACAGTTATTGACTATTAATTTAAATCATTTACCTCATCTGTCTATTATTTTGGTTTATTCACAGACTCGTGCACTCATTGAAGAGATGTCTGAACTTCCAGTTATGGTTGAGTTGGCCAGTGATTTACTCGATCGTAAAACACCAATATTTCGAGATGATGTCTGCGTATTTATTAGTCAGTCTGGTGAGACAGCAGATACTCTGTTAGCTATGCGTTACTGTATTAAACGCGGTGCACTAGCTGTTGGTATTACAAACACTGTTGGTTCATCAATCTCACGTGAATCACATTGTGGAGTGCATATCAATGCTGGACCAGAGATTGGAGTGGCTAGTACAAAGGTAAGCTAGAAATATGTCAATTTCTGTCAGTGTCCGCTTTCTATTTCTCTTTTCCAATAATAATAATAATAATCACTCTATTCCTGACAATAATTTTTAATACAGGATGGAATTCTGACTGTGATATTTCAACAAATTTATCCCTTGTACAGCATTTTCCAATCCAGTGATAATAGCAGTTAAATAATATTAATAAACAGTATGATGAGCAATAGTATACAACGACTAGTGGTTTTTAAATTATCGTCCAGTTCATGAGTACGTTTTTTTATGGAGTGGGGGTGCGGGGGCCACGAATAGCAAAACCTTTGTAAGTTCAGTGGCTGGGGTTCATTCAGCCTATATGAAAATCTGCAGTTCCAGTCAACCATTCCCGTGCTGTTGTACACTCACGGGTCCATTATCATCTACCTTGATATTTTCTCGTAATTTCGTTATTTATCAACTTGTCTAACGATTATTTGAAGACAATTTAATAATGTGTGAAAGTAAGTTTTACGATTTGTTGACATTTTAATGATAAACACAAGTTAAAATGGAACAATTTGATAAAATGTGATGCATGAAAAATGTTTGGTAGCCCAAAATTTAAGCTGGCCACCACCGTTTCAAGATATATCTTCTTGGTCAAACAATATTAAGCTGTAATTAGTCTACCAGAGATTGTGACTCCTTGACTTTCAAGCGATGGGTCTTGGCTGTTTTAGTCCCGCATCATCTTCTGCTTAAGCAACCGGATAGTATCATATAGGGCCCCATACAATAAGTACATAAACCGGGCTTATTATTTATTCTTATCATTGTCATATTATTATTATTATTATAATTATTATTATAAATCTTGTTTGGGTATAGATTGTATTGAGCAAAATGCCAATACACACTTAAATTACTTATTATGTGTTTGAAAATGACATACAGGGAGGGATCTCAGTGTTCAGTATGTTCCTAAGTAAGGGCTGTTTACCGATTTAAAAACTTACAGATTATAGCACAACTTTGTTTATGAGGGTGTTCTATTCTTTTGTGTATGTTTTTTCTCCTTTGTAAATTCATATATATTACTGTAAAGGCATAGATTGTGACTGAAAATCATTAAATATTTCTTCGCTAAAGTACTCAATAATCAAGTAATAAACGTTGTAATTGGAAATCTTTAGGTAGGTAGGTAGACAGACTGTCAATATGGAGCCTAGCATAACTGCCTAGCTACTATAAATTATCATTTTTCATAGGCACACATTAAAGAAGAAAGACGAATTCGTGGGAATAACTACATCACAAGTCATAAAATGTCACAATCGCTCATATTAATGAATCATACCTTATCCTCCTCCAAGATTGCATAAACTTATTGGTTATTGGTTTGATCTGACCTATAGTTGTGAAGTATTCGCATAATTTTAAGTTTACTGGTATATGTACACTTAAGATCATTACAGGTGTTCCACAGCAAGTGGTGATTGTTTGCTTCATTGCTGTGAATCAGTATCATCACTTAATTTACCAATGAAGAACGAAATAACTAGTTGTGTTGTGTTGACAGTTTCACTTATTCATAGGGTGATGGTATTAGATCTGTTCAGAAGTTCGGTGTCTGAACTCACTACGGATTCCAACAAGTTATCAACAACGATATTATGCAACTGTGTGTCCCGTGTAGCTGTATGAGCTTGCCTAAGTTTCAGTGATAAGTCGTAATGTGTTGGTCACCCAGGTCCGGTGTGAAGAAAAGTACACAACAATAGCATTGGATAATGTTGGATTCCAATCTAATGACTGTGTGGCAACGTGCAAACTATGACACCTGGAGGTCGTTAGCTCGATCGCACATTCGTCCTTTGGTATACATTACTGAGGAGTCCCAAATTAGTGACAGCTGTCCAACGTTCCAGTTTTCATTAGTTCTCTGGATGATATCGACCTATGGTACAAATCTCTTTAAATTTCACGTTCCCCGATAGTGAAAGTTATGCGAAAGTCACAGTTATTCGATCAAAGTTTTCTTCGAAACACTGCGTTCGCTGTTAAGTGTAGACATATATGTTGATGAGCTTTTGACACTTCGTCTATTGAAAGGGATGAACTAAGTGTGGGAACTGTCGTTTACCCTAAGGTGGAGGTAGTAGTGGCTGAAGTAGGATTATATTAAAAGGCAGTCGGGTGAAGCAAGACTAGTCCACTGTATTAGTTCGTAAAGTCACTTGTTATAAAGTCTGATCTGTTTGCTGAGGTATAATCTTTTTGACTAAAGTTTTCAAGATGTTAGGAGTTAGTTGTTAAAGATGCAAGTTGGCATTCCTGAAAGTTGATCGTAATGAGGAGTGTCAGAGACTGTGGGTCAGTGGTTTAGCGAGATGACTATCAACGATTGGGTCACGGGTCCGAGCCCCGCTCCACCAGTCAGGTAGTATCACCAGCCCTCACACAATAGGTGTGGCTCACTACCTACTGCACGAATGTGCACAAGGTTGCTGAGTGCGTTTTGTTCGTTTCATCAAAGACACCGGAAAATGATGATATTGATCCCAGAATACGAATCATTGCATTATAAGACTTTCAAATAGGCCTACAATAGTCAAAGAGAATCGTATATCCTTTATGTCATTGTTGAATGCAAGTAAGCAACTTTCAAAGACTCAACGAAACTCGATATTCAATGTTCAGTTAGTACTTTATCAGTATTGCTTTGACAAAATTTATAGATATAATGATTTTCTTCATTCTTTTTTTCTGTTCATCTGAAAGGCATATACCAGCCAATTAATCGCACTTGTCATGTTCGCCTTGGTCCTATCTGAGGATCGTATATCTCTTCAACCAAAGCGTATTGCAATTATTGAAGCCCTATCAAAACTCTCTGGTGAGTAGTTGATTTACTTATTAACAGTAGTGGTATTTGTAATAGTATATTCTCTTTTCAGAATACAATTTATATAATGTGATGGAAATTGTCTGTATTCACATATACTACTCGTGTATTCATCCTTCCGCCCCCTACCCTATTATAAGAAGTGTTGAGAATCAATAAATGTATAAATGTATGTGGTCACTGGAAATATAAAGGAATATGCAGCTCAGCAATCATATGCAGGTTAGTGTCTTTACACTGATTATGCAGGAGCTGATAATACACCAACTAACTATCCAAACCTTGGTAGGCGGAGTGGCGTTTTCGTACGCAATTCACTGTTTGAAAGACAACTGTTCTAAGCAAATCAGTCACAGTCTGACTACTGAATTATAATTTGGTAATTTGTTTCCATCATTACCGCTGTCAAACAGATGATTCAAGGCATATATCCTTTCACCTTTTTGATGAATAGTCAACAATTAGTTAGTAGTCTGCCGGAATCAGTTGATTTCATAGTGTTTTTCCTCGCGGTTTGACATCATTTTGAGAAGCTTTGGAAACCTACGAGCGTTGAACAGCTTTCTCGTCCTCATCTTGTACTCCTCAGCAGTGTAAACACACGACTCAAGAAGGGTTGAGCTAATAACCGTCATGTTTTCGGCGAATTTGTTACCATCCAGTCACTGGGTTGGAATCCAGTTATCCATTTTTTCGTAATTCTTTGAATTCTCTATATAAAGTGCGACCATCGTTTAATTTAACCGGTGGTCATCTACCTCATCCCTAGATTTGTTTACCTCGCAGTGCTCCCAGGTTTTCAGTGGCTGATGCCAATCCATAATGAAAGCTACTTTGAAATAGTTGACAGCTTGAGATGATGGTTCATTTGGCTGTCACTCAAAATTTTGAATACAGTTATATTCAAATGGAATCGGAAAAGCAAGACAGGCGTTCATTAGCCTGAAACCAGTGTGGAGATCTTCTGCACTGCACTCAGCATAAAGCGTGAACAACATCCGGATTTTCAACACCAACTTCAGTGAAGTCAGTGCTCCTGTATGTTTGAGAGACTTGGCGCATTACGAAAGGGATTTCCAACAAACTACAGACATTGATCAACAACTGCCTACGCTGCCTCGTTACTGAAGATCAGATGGCCAGAATAATAAGAATAATAAGCAACAAGGAACTCTGGCGTGGCAACGAACCAACCAAGAAACTATCGGTCAACAAATATGCAGTGGAAGGAAGTGGAGATGGATTGGATTGGGCATACACTGAGAAGGCTGACTGGGAACATCACTTGTCATGCCAGGTACTCGAGTGGAACCCCAATGGGAAGGTACGAGTTGGGCTTCCGAGGTGAGGGTGACATGGAGGATATCGTGCGGGGAGGAAATGAGAGGTTGTAGGCTGTTGTGGAGCCAGGTTGAAAAGATTACAGAGAACAGAGTTCAGTGGAGACGTGCTAGTGAAGCTCTATGTTCCATTAGGAACCCAAGGGACTAATAATAATAATAATATATTCAAGTGAAGTCAAAGGTGAACGTGACTTAATGTCTTAGCTTTCTGTGACAGAATTCTGAAGTTGTGAACTATGCTCTATGACTGTGAAATATGCCCATTAAAGGTGGAAGACATGTGAAGCTTTCAAGTGTTAAACCACAGCTGCTTGTGTAGCGTAAGCCGTCTGTCGTAGTGCCATCACATGAGTAACGGAGATGTCAGTGGTTAAGTTTTGGGTAAAAGAGTAATTTAATTAAAGTAATGTAGCTTTATCGACTAAAGTGACTGAGACATATGTTACACATATCTAGTTACCGTTTACTGTGTTTCTTAGTACTAACCAGAGTTAGTGTATACTGGCAAAAGGTTAAAGGTGGCTAGACTGAAACTTAGCATCAGTTACTGAAGTTTATGACTGTTGGTTTGAGCCGTGTAGAAAAATGTAAACTTCCCAAGTTGGAGTTCGTGTGACTACGGAAATCAGTGGTTTGACACTAAGTGACATTACTCAAAATGGATTTCACTGATGCGTATGCATACACACAATGGTTCCATTCTGATCATCTCGTTTCATTTAATTATTGATGAATCTCTTTTTATTCTCTTTTCACGACTTTCTGTACCATTCACCTTGTTAGTGACGTGAAGTTCTGCAGTTAACCCCGTCTGCCCTCATTTGATAGATGAGAATGTCAAATGCGTATTTAGGGATGAAGGAGCCGTGGATTTATCTGAACGGGACAACAATCTTCTTCCTGAAGAAACCTGAAATGATATTCAGCCTGCTGTAGAAACAGTAGGACTTAACTGTGATAACCTCTCGAGACCGACGGCTTGGACGTTGATTGGAATACTTTGAAGCCCAGTTCAATTGACCCCCTAGTTAAATACGAATCGCTTAAAAGCTTTGCTGATATATAATTCTTCTGTTGCTTCTTTGCACGCTGATGTGAAGTGTGACAACTGAAACTGAATTATTTCCGTCTCATTTGCGTAATGTATTCCACTTTTCTTCCATGTATCCACATATAGTTATAATGATATTTCTCAATTCTCTTGGGTGTAAATTTTTACTTACTAGGTTTACACAGACAGTTTTGCACATTGTAGAGAAAAAAAAATGTACTAAGCAACCTTGTGCACACTCGTACAGTAAACAATGAGCCACACTTATTATGTGTTGGCTAATGATACTACCTGGCTACCCAAACCGCTGTATGCGGAGTGAGGCTCGAACCTGTGACCCATTGATTGAAAGTCATCTCCCTAAAGGAATGAGCTACAGCTCCAAATCTCTATGTATATTGAAGTATGTGATGCCGTTGGTATGTAGTTAGTTACTTTGATTAATTCCCTGATACTTTCCTATTTCTTGATTCTCGTTAGATCAAATACGTTCCATCCTAAAATTGGATTCATCTTTACAAGAATTAGCTAAAAAGATATACATGAAGAAAAGTATTCTAGTTATGGGTCGTGGGTATAACTATGCTACGTGTCTTGAAGGTGCCTTGGTAAGTCCACTTTTTTTCTTTCTCTCTCTTCCGTTTTGTTTGTATGTTTTTTTCTCCTGGTAGTGACCGATTGATCAGTGGACAGACAGAGACAACATACGACTTGACCCTAATGACCAGCGATCGCTGCAGTTTAGACTACGATATCCGTCAGGTAACAAAAAGAAGGCGAAAGAAATGAAATTAATTGTATTCGAATTCATAAAACACTACAAGGCTGAAAGACAAAGAAACATGTGGATTAATACGCTTAGATAAAGATGAAGCGTATAAAGGCATCTCTGATATTGCTATCTATTGTGGACCGTATTCGCCTAAATCTCTGACCAATGATTTCATTTATCTAGTGAATCCTACTGATGTCCCGAGCCTGATCAACAAAATGCAACGGTTATCAAATACTGTCATCTGTATATTGATTAGTCACTGGATAGTAATCGGTTTATATTGATTGGTCACGGGAGTGCAACCAATTTCATGTTGTCTAGTCCTGAGTGCAGATCGAATCCTATCGATTATATTTGCAATGTGGCCACCAAGCTAGGAGGCTCAACATCGCGGTGCATATTAGTAGATGTTAGTTGGTTAGAGGCAATCGGCAGGAAGCCCTGGACCTAGGTTTCATGCTTGTTGGTTCTCGCCGAGGTTGCAGATACGCCTTGCTGAGGAGTGCAACAAGCACGAAACCTAGGTCCAGGACATCCTGCCGATTGCCTCCAACCAACTGATATTTAGTAATCGATTTTGGACTCTCTGATTTTGAGTGCTGACCGAATTCTGTCGATCATTTTTACAGTGTGTCCACTAAACTTGGATGCTCATCATGATGGTGCATCTGGATCAGTGTTAACTAGTTGAAGGTAATTGACAACAAGCCCTGAATCTAGGTCTCATGCATTTCGAAACTCGTCACCTAGGTGTATCTGGAACCTCGAAGGAAATGATATGGTCCCCTGTGAGATCCGAACCCGCGTCCCCCGGGGTTGTAACCAGTGACGTTACGACTGAGCTGACGTGCGAAATCTAGGTCCATGGCTTTCTCTTGACTACCTCTAACCAACTAACAACTGTCATCAGTCTCAAGTGATCATCTTCCACAGCCGAATTATTGCATAGTACGCACTGCTGTGGAATACACTCAATTTTTACTAAAGGTCTGTCAGCATAAATCGCCAAAAACTAATATGAGCTTTTTCCACCTATACCGAGTTTTCATCAATCACCTCCCCACCAAAACTTCTATGATTTCCAAGGTAAATAAATGAAGTGATCATAAAGGGTTATCGATGTGAAGATCAGTGATTTCCACTATAGGATTAATAATGTCATGCAGTTGTGTAAATCTCTGTCAATCTGATTCCAGCTGCCCCCCACCGATCTTACCACGGACCTATAACTGAATGGGTTGACATTCATTTTTAATTTTAATCACATTGAACTCTAGCACTTATATTTTTCTTAAGTTATGCCAGTATTTTCTCTCATTAAATTGGTATTGTTTGTTTTTATTTTAAAATAGAAATTAAAAGAATTAACCTATATGCACGCTGAAGGTATTATGTCGGGTGAATTAAAACACGGTCCTTTGGCAATGATTGATAGTGAAACAACAATCATTATGATTATAACACGTGATCGTCTGTTTAAAGTAAGCGTTGTTTGCATATTAAGCAATGGTTTTGTCAATGATGATTATTGTGTAGCCTATATGACCTTGACATTTTTGTTCCAGTAAACTTTCTAACAATAAGAAAAAGTAATGTATAGGGGTTTTTGTTTGTGATTCTTTTCACTTTCGAGCGTTATAAGAATACTGGTACCAGGCTTATAGTAATCGGATGAGCTATTCGAAGCTGTTCACCTTTGTGTGGAGAAATGGCTACTAAATACCTTGATGTATACTGGTTCAAATGGTTGCTATGCTTTGTGTTTAATGTGAATTACAAAAACCCACATAAATGTGCCACGTCATTCAAGTAAACTGAACTATGTAGAACGATATTAATAATAATAGTGCAATGCGGTAATGTGGTATAGGTTTGTGAACTAGAATAAAATGATGGAAGTTTGGCTCATTGATTCAAGCTTTTACGATGAATCGATGGGTACCTGGGTTATATCCAGATCTACCTACTTCAACCTGGTCAACCAATTGGCATCACACCACACCTTACTTAGTAAATGTGACTCATAGCCTATTACGTAAGGATTTATCGGTTTGAGTTACATTCCATTAGATTTGAATCTATGGTGCACATCCAGATTGTATTAGGTTAGATGATGGTTAGGGGTGTTTACACCATGGCTTTGCACTAGTCTATAAAACCTTTGATTGATGGTCTGAACAGTGTAAGAAGGTGTAAAGTGGTCACCTGGGGTTCAAAACAATAGGAATCAATAGCTGTAGGGAGACTCTTATTGACATGACTGAAAATTGGTCGCAGTGGCACAGATGTATTCACCGTTTGATACCTTCAGAAGTTTGGACATTTTCACTAACCTTCATTTATATCGCCTGTCAAACACCTTTGTCTACTTTGATATCATCCTTTTTTGTCCATCAATTGTTTGAATGCTGCTGTGAGTGTATGGCAACTTGAACTGATGCGTTTTTACGTGAAGTTCTCCATTGACTTGTTAGTCTCCGTAATCCTATGGTTGATAATCGACTGCTTGAATCCCTGGCAAATGTGGATTCTCTGTTTCCTTCAGAAAAAAAATGATATACAAATCACGAAAACACTACACTAGTTGTTTACTCTGTAAAATTGTGTGCTTTTGTTGATTTTTTTTATATGTTCTGTCGCAAAATGTAATAACTTGCTTCTTGTGTTGTACACTGCTTGGAAAAATCATTTTTCTGTTTGAAAAAAAATCTTTGATTCCTTGCTGAAATATCGACCTGATCAGGTGGCTGTTCTTATCTTTTCAATTCTTGTATTTTCGCCAATACGGTTCTTGGAATTATGATGCATCACCTTGATTTTATTATTCTTCCAAACAGTATGAAGTGGAAGTGTTGACTGCTTAAAAGGTAAACTTTATACAGTGTGAACACTTAGAAGTAGTACCCTACACAAAATAACCTGATAACATTATATAGACATGAAAGTAGATGGGTTTTTGTTATGATGTGGAGTTGTGAAAACGAACGGAAATACTTAACGGTTGATAGTCAAGATTTGAGACGATTCAACCTGAGTGATTCGCAAAGAGAAATCAAAGGACTAGAAATTAGATGAGTTTATAGTATCTCGGACGGAAAACGTTTATGAGTGGAAACTGACCCTATTTATTATTTATAGAGTTTACAATAACCTTGAAAGACAAGGAATAATTAGTACATTTAAAGAGACAGGAGCCAATCAGAACAATAACGGGTCATATGACGCATGCGCAGGAAAAGAGTGCGAATAAACCAGTTCCAAAAAAAATATACAAAACTGTAAGTTTGGAATATAAGGCATATGGGCATCCCTAACAGTTATCTAAAAGTTGACCTCAAAGACAAATTCAACACAGGGTTCTTTCAGTATCTCCGATAAAAGCAGAAACAAGAAAACGACAGCCTAAATGCTATTAGTTTTAATTTTTGAACCAGGCATTATTAGTAATGTCTGGGGTCTCCATTCAGGATGTTTTAGAGTAGCCAAACACTAATCCTTACTAAACTATTTTGCATCTCACCGGACCATATTATGCACTGACTGTCTCTCCAGCTCACCCCGGCGTTAACAAACAATGTATGCTACAGGTTCCAATAGCGCTTCATTTATAATCCGTATTGTATCCATCAAACTTGGTGTTTCAAGATAGCCTTAGCGTTACTTTCATTGTGTTTCCACTAGACACCAGGATTCTTACAAAGAAAACGATACTCTTATTCTCAGAGTCCTTGGGCATCTTTACCTCGTAAGGACTAAGTTTCACAGACATAGGGCAGAGTTTTTCCTTAGATGTGTCATGTTCTTGAGCTGATATCATGACGTTGCCACTTTGGTTTTCAATATATAATTGAAAATCTCATGTGCCGCACCTTCACTAGTATCATCTTACACAACCGCTTGGATGCACGAATCTTTCTGGTACTCCCACTGGTTCACTATTAGGGCTTGACTGTGAGCAGAATTACCTGTTAATGTTGTGGAAACACTTTGTACTTTGATAGTTTAAAGCTTATGCCATATTGATAGTAGTTTTTACAAAGAAACAATTAGAGCGGTTTCGAATGTTTAATGGTTGGTAGTCATCGTTATACCTATCTTGACAATAACTATCCAGCCATTGATTTAAAGTGACTTTAAAAGCACCCTAGCAACTGCTAAAATAACTAATCAGGCTTTAGTATTTCATCTGGAAAGTAAGTCTCACGTAAAGTACAGAAATGTAATTGGCTATCTCAACTGTTGTCAGGGTGACCGTTCAAGTCACTAGGGCTTTAAATACGAAGGCAATTAAAGTAGGGTTTTGAGTTTCATTCAGCTAGCATCCTTTAACTAGAGTAACTCTAAGGCCCACCTTGCAACTGTTGCAGTAACTAATTATCTTTCCAGTGTCTCATAAAAAACTACCATTCCGTAGGAAGTAGGTAAACCTGATTGGTTGTTTTAACAGTTGCTAGCGTTGTCTTTAGAGATACAGCTTTTAGCATATGGGTCTGAATGCTGCAAAGCTAATCATAGTAGCATCAGTATTAGGAATTTCAACAATTATGTACAACTTTATGACCTGGGCAAACACTTTGTCATAGACTAGTTACTACTTTAATGGTCAGGTGTGACTTTAAAGACCACGCTAACAACTGTTGAGGTAACCAAATCCTGTTCTTTTATTTTATGAAAAACTAAATCCCTAGCTGAAATAGAAAAACCTGATTGGTTATTTTAGCTATCGCTAAAGCCACTCTTCAACAGGGTTGAAAACCGAGTAGCTAAGACGACGTTTCACAACTACGGACTACGATTAACTGCTGATAGTTTCACTCGGTTTTGTCTATCTGACCTTATCTGATCAGCATGATTCATGGTCTGGTTATATTTGTCTTGTTCCACATTAGAAGTGTGTTTTAAGGGTTTCTGTGATGATTTAATTAGTGGGGTTCTTATCATCTGACTTTATTTGCTATATGCTGACTATAAATTACTCACATAACTGAAACACCCAATCAGATTTCTCAATTTTACCTTAAAAAATTTATCTTTTCATTCGAAATTATAAAACTGAATTGATTATTTGAGTAGGTGCTAAGGTGGCTGTAACTCCTTCGATGTTGTCTGAACACATGAGGAGTAATTCAGCATGTAGTTGCAAAATCTTATATATCCCATCCACCACACATAGATTAGGCGCACAAAACCTATATTTAATAGAAGAGAATATCATTACACACTAGCCATGGTATTTGTGACCTGAGTTATTAGTATATGTAATACATGGGAATTATTTGCTTGTGGAGTGCCATTATTATTACTATTATTACTCCCTTGGGTTCCTAATGGAACATAGAGCTTCACTAGCACGTCTCCACTGAACTCTGTTCTCTGAAATCTTTTCAACCTGGCTCCACAACAGCCCACAACCTCTCATTTCCTCCTCGCACGATATCCTCCATGTCACCCTCACCTCGGAAGCCCAACTCGTACCTTCCCATTGGGGTTCCACTCGAGCAACTCGCCTGACAAGTAATGTCCCCAGTCAGCCTTCTCAGTGTATGCCCAATCCAATCCATCTCCACTTCCTTCCACTGCATATTTGTTCAGCGATAGTTTCTTGGTTGGTTCGTTGCCACGCCAGAGTTCCTTGTTGCTTATTCTTATTATTCTGGCCATCTGATCTTCAGTAACGAGGCAGCGTAGGCAGTTGTTGATCAATGTCTGTAGTTTGTTGGAAATCCGTTTCGTAATGCGCCAAGTCTCTCAACCATACAGGAGCATTGACTTGACTGAATTTGGTGTTGAAAATCCGGATGTTGTTCACGCTTTATGCTGAGTGCAGTGCAGAAGATCTCCACACTGGTTTCAGGCTAATGAACGCCTATCTTGCTTTTCCGAATCTGACTGGCTTTGACATCCTCGTCTGTGCCTGTGGTGTCTGTAGTTGAGACAGTGCTGCCTAGATGGGTGAAGGAGGATACTTCCTTTAAGTTTCTCCCATTGATGGTGATTGGAGTTTGTTGTTGTTGGTGGAGTATCTTCATCACCTCTGTCTTCTCTATATTGACTTGAAGTCCCGTCTTCACTGCCTCGCCTCTTCTGACAACTTGTTAGTTTTCGCCTGTACATCTTCCAGTTTGTGTGACAAGACATCGGACACAAGTCATCACTGGCGAAATACAAGAGTTCTGGGATCTTTTCCTCGGTCCAGCCAGCGTATCCCCCTCTTCTCACAGTTCTTCACTGTTTGTTGCATGATCCAGTCGACCACAACACAATCAGGAATATCATGGGTGATAGTAGGCAGCCTTGTCTTACTCCTTCCTGTCTTCACTTCAAAAGCATCACTGAGCTTCCCATTGTGAATTACTTGGCTGGTATGTGGTATCTTCATATAGTTGTTAAATGAGATTGATAACGGCTTGCGGTATTCCGTAGTATTGAAGCAGTTTCCAAATTACCTCTCGGTCGACACTGTCAAAGGCCTTCTCAAAGTCGATGAAGTTGAGGTAGAGAGTTGACTGCCATTCTATACTCTGTTCTATGATGATGCATAGTGTAGCGTTGCAATTTGGTCCGCACATGATTTGTACTTCCTGAAGCCAGCCAGCCAGCCAGCCAGCCAGCCAGCCAGCCAGCCAGCCAGCCAGCCAGCCAGCCAGCCAGCCAGCCAGCCAGCCAGCCAGCCAGCCAGCCAGCCAGCCAGCCAGCAGCCAGCCAGCCAGCCAGCCAGCCTGTTCCGTTCGTAGTTTTGAATCCAGTGCATCCTTTAGTCTCTCCAGGATGATGCGGCATAATAGTTTGCTTGCTCGGTGTGGACAGGAGCATGATTCCTCGCCAGTTATTGCAAACACTGAGGTCTCCCTTCTTCGGGAGTTTGACAAGGTAACCCTTCTTCCAATCAACAGGCAGGTACCTTCTCTGCCTTCCACACCTTCTGCAATAGTGGTGTGGTGTGAGCATGTCCGCTGTTGTCTGGCAGGATTCCATATGGTCCTGCTGCTTTCCCACATTTCAGTAGCTTTATGGAGCTGAGGACTTCCACTTTTGTTGGAGGATTTATGTTCACTTGTAGTTCAGCGTCTGGGCTGAAGGTGGTATTTCTGGACGAAGTGTAAGTGGTGGTCAATTCAAGGGCTTTCTGAAGTGGTCAGCCCATTGTTTCCTTTGTTTCTCTTCTTTGGTAACTAGCTTTCCTTCGCTATCTCATTGTTTTGACCTGGATTGATCTCTTTCTAGATAGTGAACTGGTTATTTGATACAGTGTTGTCAGGTCTCTGTCTCTCTTACCTGCAGCCTATTCTGCTTCACTCACCAATGTGTCGTAGAAGTGTCTTTTGTCTTTCCGTGCACTCTTCTTCACCTCTTTGTCCACTGCAGTGTTTTATACATTGTACTCAGTTCCTCTTGTCGTTGAGCATCCTTGCACTGGTTTATCTTCTGCTTCATCATCCTCCTCTCCCTGCCTGCTCTATCAGCTTCCATGTATTCGTCGAGATCCATTCCATTCCTTATCTTCTTTCTTCTTCCTTCCTAACACGGTTGTGCAGGTTTCACAAATTCCAAGCACTTCAATGTGATACCTCTTCATCTCGTTTGCAGTCTGGGCTGCCTTGCTGGGTTCAAACATCGTACGGACATTCCATGTCCCCACGTTCACTTTCGCTTTCATCGAGAGAGGCGAAGACACATCGGCCAATTGGCTTCCCGAAGGCTTTCACCAGCTAGCGTCATTTCGCCTCTCCGATTCCAGCGAGGAATAATTTTGTTATTTTTTTTTAAATTTTGTTTGTGCCTTGAAGCTTCTTTAGCGGTTAGATTTGTTTTATGGGGTAGGATTGCTAGCCCTATGCCCAACCTTCCCTCTTTATGTGGGCTTAGGACCGGCTAGTAACTAGTGAACTAGTTAACCAGGCTAGGTTGTGGAGTGCCATAGTTGACAAAAATGACATAACTGATTTTCTACCTAGAAAATAGAGTCAAGTGCTGTATCTGATATTGCCTTTACCAAACAGTTATTTTAGAGCCATTTGCGGTAAGGAAGTAAGCGAAAGAGTCCATACAAAGTCATTGAGCTTAGCAATACAGTAATGCCATAAAATCAGCTCCAGATGAAATGTATTTGAAAATGGATAAACTGATAGAACTAATCACATTTGTCTGAAATGTCTATTCTCCTTTCCCACTCCCAAATCTATGTAACTGTTTCTACGAGAATTGGTTTGTCCTACATTATTGTGTAGTCCCTGATCTCATCACTTTTTACCTTTCTGATTTTTCTCCCTTTCTCCCATGTATCATTTATCTAGAAAACCATGAACGCATTGTCGGAAATCAGGGCGCGCAAGGTAAATTTAACTTTGTTATAATTTGTATTCATTAATATCTCTTCTTAAATGAGTATGCAATACATCAAAGATATTAGGAATCTCTCGCGTATGGTAGAATCTTCATATGAGGAATGTAGAGGTTGAATGAAGGGTACTAGGCTAGGAATGCAAGGCGATCGATGAAGTCGTGAACCTTCAGTGACTGAGGTGGATCGGACATTTGTTTCAGACAGACATACAGAAGAAATCAACGTAGGACCTTGCACACAACTGCATTACTTCAAGTTGTCACACTTCACAGTAACATTTTAACAAACAAGTAATCAGAAAAATGATTTTAAAAAAAACAAACAAAGTTATGTTGAAGAATAAACAATCTGAAGATAAAGGTCAGTGCAAATATTTAAGCTTTAGATGTCAAGGAGTGAATACATTTACGCCATTGTGTATGAGGTTCTATGTTCCTTTGGTTTGTCCTTTTTTTATCTTGGAAATATTCACGTCCACTGTTGGAAGCGTGTGAAAAGTCAATACTTTGCGCTGACTCACATCGTGAAGTTGTTTTCTTGATATGTACCTAGGAGAGAAAATGTGTTAGCTCTGGTTGACCTTAAGAGTCCAAGTGACATTTGATTAAAGCTGGTCACATATAGCCTTTCTAAAAACTTTGGATTAAGATTTGATTGTGGTACTGTCGGATAAGGAAAACTTTTACTTCTGATGCAGGCAAGAATGGAGTAAGCTATTTTTGATACCTATCTTTCCAATCCCTCCTTACGACCTCAGCGAACAAATATTTCCCCCCCCCCCCCAGTATTATGATGTGCAAGTCTGACCACGACGTCTAGGCAAGAGCTAACGATTGAGACATCCAAAGGCTTAAGGTGTTTGAATACTTTTACCTTTGTAGAATAGGTGGGGTGTTATGGAACCACTATATTAGTATCATGGACGTTAGGCTCAGAGGTTGTGAATCTTCATTGATTCAATTAGTTGGCACATGTATAACGCATGCCTAATCATCGTCTTTCCCGTCGGACTCAGTATATTAGCTGAAGTAGATTAGGGCTGGGATAGAGTAAAGGCGTCCAGACCAAAACCTGGCACCAGTCTATGACATCTTAGACCCTTGATGTGAGCCGTGTAGGGGAACGTAATACCTCAAGGAGTAGATGTTCCAACCAACATAGTTCGTCCAGCCTTCCTGATATGCAAGCCTTATCACCACGTGAAGGTATCATCGGTACTGGACTTCGCACTTCATGTGCTCATCGTGGACTAGTAATACTGCTAGTCAACTCTCCAAACTTTGTTAGATGAAGGGAATTGTGACTCTTTAATTGGAAGATTGGCGCCTGAAGCAATCAGCTAACTCTTTACTTCAATCAATTTTCTTCCCATATATGTTTCTTCATAGCCTATGCTTTTTGAGTGAGTTCAATGTTCCATCGACAATATTGAAGTAATAAACTGGATTTGACAATATCTCTTTTTAATAAAGGATCAGTAGTTTCATCTTGAATGCATACTCTTATGTTATCCTTTGGCACAGTCGAATTTACTCACCTTTTGTTTAAACGTGAACAGCACGAATCACATTTCAAATACCCTTGTTCTTTCTATAACTAACTAATCACATTGGATGTGGACCGAATTATTTTTTCACATTGATATGTCTGTCTCAAAGATGTGGACTACAATATAATGAATATTTAAGAAGTATAGAGATATCCGCATAGGAGCCCATCTTCCAATAGAGATCGCACAGTTCCGCCCTGTATAGCAACGGGAAATTACAGATATTATAACAACTACTGATACTCGTTGCACAAGAGGTGACTCCTGTGCTCCGGTGGCCTGGTGAATAACGCTTTGGCATTTGAAGCAATGGGTACAAGGTTTGAGTCTCGGTGGGAACAACATCACTCCGTACTGGGGTACAGGTACATCCAGCTGACGAATCCTAGAGAGGACGAACTGCGTGTCCTGGATTGCACTGCTAGCCACCAAGTAGATGAGGTAACATTTCCATTATGTGTAGCAATCATTTTCATAGGTAGGTTAACAATTATCCCTACACAAGCAATATGATATTACTTCATGATCAGCAAGGGAAGGTGGCAGTTTAGAAATACTTCGGATTTTTCGGTGGGATCACTATTATTGTGTAGTGTTGTCTTACGGCATAAATGACTTAAGCCAAAGGGATAGATACTGTTTTTTTGAAGGCAGTTTTCCGCACCTATTTAGGGATATTTCAGTTGTATATAAACTTCTGTTCGCATACGGAATAGAATCTATGACTCAGTCCTCATGATAAACAGTTTATCTCATTCATTCACTGCGTTTCACTTCAATTTTTTTTTTTTACATCTCCAAAAACTGGTTTCTTTCAAATACAGTCTTCGTTGGACGAATTTATCTATGCTAAGAGCTGTGGGAATATTTTATGCTTTATTGAAGTGTGAAACTGATTACTTCATTGCTCAGCACTCCAGATTACATCCAATGTATCCTACTTAAGCGAATGCATATGAGTAGTATATAATGCGAAAAGTGACAAGAGTTGAGAGTGGACTGGTAAAGGTTCTGAAGCGAGAAACAATAAATACTAACAGACAGTGAAGAAGGCAACAAAAGAGAAAGTGAAGGAGGATATTTCATCCACCCATGAAGAAGAACGCTAATGCAGTTTGCAGCATCGACACCCATCTATCCAGTCAGAGTTATTCTTTACAACTTCACTCACTTTAAATTTAAGCAGTTCTGATGCTTCATGTTCCCTCGTTTTGGTTTTTACCTACCTGTCGATGACTTGATTTTCATCAATTTTTATTTCTTTTATTCTTTTGAAGGGTCATCCAATCGTTATTTGTAGTGAAGGTGATTCACAGGTTATGGCTGAAGCATCTTATGCTATTCAGATACCTGAAACAGCTGACTGCCTACAGAGTGTACTAGCTGTCATCCCATTACAATTGATCTCATTCCATATTGCTGTGGAACGTGGATTGGATGTGAGTTCCCAGTAGTTTTTTCGCTTCTTTTTAATACTTTTTTTTATCATTCAGTTGATTCTTAATATGCTTCAATCAGCTTTTGCTCAAGGATTTTTGAAATGTTAAGAGGCAAGGGATTGTCGTTGATACGATGCACAATGATGAAAGATGTATTCATTTTTTAGGGTCATCAAAATTCTTGATACTTACGACTTCTAATTCTTAAGGAAGGAAGTCATATAGTTGGTTTATCAATAAAATATGGCAGATCTGAAGGGAAGGGAATTGAAGTAAGCAAGAAGTGTGCTTTGATTGAAGTCAACTTCGAAGGTGCTAATGTTTGTGAAATAATTAATAGGAGGCTGTAAACCTCACTGAACAGAAAATATCCTGCAGCCAATTCGATCAAAAGTCGATAGGTTCTCTTCCCATATTATCTTTAATTGTATGTACAAGTGTGTATATACATTTGTGGTAGCAGTTCAATGGAGAGAACACAGAAAAGGGTATACCTTAGATTCTTCAAACACTTATCAAAACGTCTACAACTTATGCGAACAAGTGTTTTCAGTGGTGCAGTCACTCAGTATCTTATCCAAACACAACATGAAGTAGAGATACTTCAGAATTCTTCAAGGTAATCAAACAACAAAGTAATTTGAACTTTATCAAGTTCGCTAAGGCTGTAGCAGTCAAACGACTGCAACCAGAATTCTGTGTTCAAAAAGAAACTGTGATGAGTTTTACTTTGCACTGGTTACCACTTATTTGATGTCATCATCATCTTTTAACTAAACGTTTCCCCCCCCCCCTTGTTTTTACATGATTTTTATGAGCTTTCTGCTAAATAAATTCAACTCGTTTTGTTATTGTATAATTTGGCCGTTTATTCATCATCAACTAGCCAGCCGACTTGTTAATCTTTTTACGTAATCTTTTATTGCCATTCGAATTATTTTCTCGAATTCTCTGTTGAATCAGTGAAACTTCATCACATATCTTGTTCACTTTCTCTGGATGTTTGTATTTTTTTTGTTCCCTATTAACTAACTTTATTTAACTGCAAAAAAGTGTGTTCAAATTGCTTTATGGTACGAAACAAACGGTTACCATGTTATTCTGCTCCCTTTGTTGCTCCTTTCTTTATTCCTGTTCATTTGAGGATTGAACTAGGATAAGTGGATTAATAGTTTAGGTAGTTGGTAGTTTACAGGGATTAATTCATTTTAGTGTAGTTTCCATCATGGACTAATGTCTGTTTTTTCACACCACTAAGTTGGTGCATTGCTGCACTCCTGGCCTGGTCATGACGACATTCCTTATTTGAAAGTAGTTACTATCTGAATACATTGAAAGGCTGTTTCAGGAAGCATGATAAGTTGAGAAACGACTGAGCGAAAACAGTTGGAGAGAAAAGTGTATGTTGATACATCACCCTTCTTTGTAATCACCATACCGCCTAGATAAAAGTGGTAGTGAATCGTGTAAATGGTAAATGATTCTAAAATATTCCTGTTCCTAATGGTAATCTGTGGTATATCTCAAAGACTTTGGATGCCACTGAAACGTATTTCAAGATGCAATCCTTCTTACAAATCGCTTCGATTTATGTCATTAGGCGAAAATGTAACGGTTACATTTTACTCAGATAGCCCAAACACTTTGATAAAACTGAAAATGGATGGGATAAATTCAGTCAACCTCGTGAAGTGTTCCCATGTGGCGATTCGTTTGTGGCCTTTTTCGAGGAAGTCCTACTGACTATCTTCACGTGGCGGTGAGTGTTTTCACAATACGCAGCTGGTTAGGACGCTATGACCAGATTGGTGTACTCGGATAATACACTTATAGGAATTGGTAAACTCTGATTCTAAACCCGTGGTACACCTGTAATTTCTACTCACTGTTATGGATTACACTTCAAGTAGAATCCATGGAAAATCCTCTTCTAAGTTAACTATTCGCTACTTTCTGAGCGTACAGGTAGTATCACAACCCACATACAAATCATGGAACTATCTATTATACTATAGTTAAGTTGAGCATTTAAGAGGGATTGTTTGCTACACTTAATAAGTAGAATGGTTCATCTTATCATTTGCTGCTACAAATTGTTGAAGCATTATGTCTCAGTGATTACTTACTATGTTGATTCTTTCAACAGCTTCCATCTAACTTTTGAGCGATATGCATCATTTGCAGTCGATTAGTTGACTCTGCAAGTGTATACTAGCTATTTCGTTGAAAGCATAAAACAGCACCAATGAAACTGGATGATGGTTGGCTGTTGTATATTCGATGACTTGACTGCAAGGTAAATAGTTTACATCCCAATACAGCATAGACTAGATGTTAACTTGTTCGCTGTAATTACAGACTCTCCGAAGCTTATGTCTACTCGACCAGTTATCTCCTGAAGTTAGATTTTCTCTCTAGAACACTAAGCAACTTTCCTGTACTGCTGACAACTTAAAAGAAAAGATTTTAAGTAGTGTTTTCTGATATTTTTGTAATTCATGATTCTCTATTTCCTCCTTTCATCACTCTCTGACTGAGGGTGTTCTCATTTGATGTGTTGATATGAGATGTGGCAAATTGAACTGTTACACAGAGTGACGTCAGGTTCTATGCTGATTTTATCTATTTGTGTGTCTCTGTCTGTTTGTTTGTCGTTTTTGTAATACCAAATTTCTACATCTCTTTTTATGCGTTCGTGTAGGTGGATTGTCCTCGAAATTTAGCTAAATCAGTGACAGTGGAATAAATCAAATAGTCTTGAGAATGAGATGTGTTGTACTCAATCAGTTTTGTTGCATGCATGTCATGGGTTTCCATTGGTACTATATCATAATTGTTTATTGTTTTGTTTGCATTCCGTGATGTTGACGTATTATTATTATTATTATTATCATTATGATTCTGAGTCAAACTTGGTTAGTTCCAATGTTCAATGCGTGAAAGTTTGTTACTTTGTTGTTATATATTGCATTACCATGACACTATTTCCATTTCCTCTCTACTATTTCACGTTTATAACTACTATTCAAATTGCGAAAATGTTTTACAGACATTTGTTTGTTTTTCTTTGGTTTGTCCAACCTTACTCTTTTTTTTATTATACCTTTCCACCTTTAAATCTCGTCTGTATATTGAATATTTTTGTCTCGTTTTTTTTTGTTTTCTCCTATAAAGGTGAGGTGGAAAGTGATCTGTGATTTTTGTCATTGTTTTCATTATTTGTTTCACCTTTAGGTTACTTTTTATTAATAATATTCTTTGTTTTTGCCACAGTGTTCTTTGCTGACCGATCAGGAGATCTGTCATTTCCTAATTTAAGCAATCGATTTTCAGCCAGTTGATTACGGGCTCGAACCATACCCCTTTTACTAAAGTTAAGACAGTCAGGTAGCATTATTGGCTTATACAATAAGTGTGATTCATTGTGTAATGCGTGAACCCACATTTGGTCGCCTGGATATGCTTCGCTTTATTAATGAGATGATAAGTTATTGGTTTATAACTGTCTAATGTCCGTATACTGGAGGCAAGTTCACGTGGCCTGTGACAGTAATCTTGAACTGGCAATTCTTCGAATTCACAACATCTGATATTCAAACTGCTGTTTATCGTATATTATTTAGTCCACTTGTAATTGATTAAGTTGGAAATGAGATGATCTATGCTTAGTCATTTAGTATAAAGGATGTTTTATGTTTATCCGTCTGATGATGAATAGTCACGGAACCCAGGATGCCCGTTTCGCTTTATTTAAGACGCATCAGCTAAGTGTACCTGCATCCATCGCAGTGAGTGGATAGTGTGGACATAATTACACCAGTTGCAGTTTAAATGGGAGATCGACATCATACCCCCAACTGTTTCTAAAGTTAAGAGAACTATTGCAAATCTGAACGAGAAAAGATCAGTGAGTAGTCTTGTAAGCCTACAACTTGCAATGGCCAAAGTATTGTCCGGGATATGGATGGATACCTTGTCTTCTCTTGTCCTACTTTGTAATAAGTGAGTAGAATCCTGGATTGGAAACCAATTAGAAATTAGCGCGGCTAATAGAACTTCCATGATTTTCAGTGGTCTATTCACGCAATTAATATGTGAAGCTGGAAAGAAACAGGCAGATTTCATGTCTGGTTTTAGATGTATCTACTTGGTGTCTCTCCTCTGTCGATTGTAATGTTTGAGGCTCAACATGGCGTACAATAAAGATATCATTTAACTCTAGCGGTGGTACTAGGCCCAATTAAATACCAATCAAAATCTTAATTCACTAACTTTTATGACTTAAAACATAAATTAGATGATATACGAGTATATAACAGTGAAAAAAAAGGTTACTTTCGACATAACTAGCCTTCACACTAACATACCAATTGACATGACTCAGAAGGCAGTTCGAAATAGACTTAAAGACGTCAATGGGCTTACACATCGAACTAAGGTGCCGATCGGGGAAATCATACTAAGAGTACAAGTGTGCCTGACGTCGACAGTTTTTAAGTTTTAAAAGGAAATATATAAACAAACTGGAGGGGTCGCCATGGGATCACCAATATCTCCTATTTCTTGCAGACATATTTATGGGTAGTTAGGAGCAGATAGCTACTAAAACATTTACTCATACTCCAAAGATATAGTTCCGATATGTACATGACACATTTACATTACTGAAATTGAAACATATCGGCAGGTTGCTGACATATAAATTCGGTTATGAACGCAATCCAATTTACTTGTGAATTATAAAGTGATGAAGGTGAGCTAACAATGTTGGATTGCAAGATTAAACGAAGACAAGATAGAAGTTTAGAGACTAGTGTCTGTAGGAAACCTCATTCGAATTGCTACTTCGACTTCAAATCATATCACCCCATCTGAGTTAAACTAGACATCTCAATAATTACCCATCAAGATTTTTAAATAAATTTATAAAAAAAATTGAAAGGAAAACATGAACAGTAGTTGTAATAACATCAGTGTAATTAATAGATCTACTATTAATAGTAATAATGGTGAAAGTGTTGACAGAATTCAAAGCCACAAATGCGTTACCATACACTGAAGCATTATGGAGAATTCTCAATAAGGCTGACTGGGAGTGGAGTGACATTTAAACCTAAAAACTCGCTCACAAACAAGCTTTGTAAGTTAAGAGATCCTGTTGATGCAATTAAACAGAATAATTTACTTTGTCAAATCCCTTGCAATGATTGCGAGGTTATATACGTAGGTTAAAGTAGTCGATTAGGATCAATAAGAATAACTGAGCACAAAAACTTAGCTAAATCAAGATTTGTAGATCCTAATAAGATAAGAAATCTAGAGAAAAGCTGAGCTATAGCTATGCACGCAATAGGGTGGGATTGAGCGACAACACTAATCACTAACCTGATTCCGTGGGTGTAGAGATCAATAATCGAGCCTTTGTTTGTCGAACCAAGACCAAATATATGCAATAAACTGTGAAAACACAAAATCATTGACATCATCATATGTAAATGAAAGTAATTGTGGTTTCTTTCAATATAAACAACTGTATGAACCATCTAATTTATTTCATATTTCAAAATCACGCCATTCTATGTGTATATTTCATTCAAACAGAATAGAAAGAGAATATCTTAATTGTTGTGCTGATTTTCATCAGATCTTATGTGGATACCATGTTGAAATATCTTTCAGCGTTTTGTGAAAGGGTTTTTAAAAGAAGTACGCTTGAAGCTGCGGCTCTCTGGTTTTGGGTTGGTTTAAGCAGCCAGTTAATATCATTCATGAGCTTTCATGCAATAGGTGTGGCTTATTGCCTGCTACAAGAATATGAACAAGGTTATTGAATGATTTTGGATATCTTTCTCAATATATGAAGTCTATTCATTGGTTATTGCAGTCTGCTAAGCTGATGAGAGCAGGTATAGGTCAGACAGTGATTATATCACTGGGTCAGATGAGCCATTAATGTTTTCCTCTGTAAGCATTAGGTGGTTAGTAGATTTTCGACTTTATGACTGTGTTCATTAAGACAACAGACATCGATATTTTGAGACGTCAAGAGATATTGCTGGCTGAAAAACAAACACATTAGTACTGCTAGTGCATTCATTTCTTCCTTATCTTCTGTTAAATCCTGAACAGACTACTATTTTCATTGTATTTATTATCTATCTAGTATTTTCTTTTCCATTTTGTATATCAGGACCCTATTACTTTCATTTTCTATCCTGCTCGTTTCCCATTGACTTTGTTAAGGGAAACGAGGCATCTCCAGGTAGTATGCAAATCTCACTGGTATTGATGTCTATGAATGTAAGGACAGTAGAAGGGATAAAAATCTGGTTCATTGATAGACTGAATTGCTCGACCCCTGTTGTTGGATAGGCTATTATGTGGATGCCTCGATACTGTCTGAATACTCATTATGTTATGGTCTACTTGGTTGTTTACGAAGGAAATCAGGACAGGCGTTTCGTCCTGCTTGAGACTCGTCACTTGAATACACCTGCACTCCATTTAGTGGTCAAGTTCTCACTGAGACCATTGCTTCAAACGCCAAACAGTTATCCACTGAGGTACGAGAGCCGTATCTTTTGCAACGTGTACCAGTTATTGTTTATTGATACTTGTATTCTCCCGCTGTTATACTGCATCGAAGTTTGAATAGTTCTGTCTACAATAACGAAGAATTAAAAGTATATCGACAAATAACAATCACTAATCCCCTTTTCAAAGTGGCTTGCGTAATCTAGTGACCTAGTGGATAACACATTGACGATTGAAGCGATGGATAATGGATTCAAGTCTGAGTAAGAGCAAAACCACCCACTGGGATGCGGGTGTCTGCAAATGATGAGTCCACAATAGGACGAAACGCGCGCTCTAGGTTCTACTGCTACCCACAAAGTAAACTATTACACTGCTAGGTATTCAACGAGAACTTGCCTACCTCATGTCTATTTACGCAAATTGAGTGGATAAAGTAGTTCCATTACTTAGTATTATCTACCAGAGTTTACTTGATATAATAAGTCAGTTTTATAGCCTTTACATATGTGTATCATTTGGTTTCCTATGTCACTCATAATTCTGACTGAATGCGTGATTAATTTAGTCTACAAGTACAACTCCTGATGTAGATGATTTACCCATAGACTAGTCAAACGCTTACTTCTTTCTCTACCATCCGATCGACAAAAGGGAAAACTGACGCTCACTATCCTTGCTATTTGTGGTGTGAGTCATCTGATTTCTATGCTTCCAATGTCCCCATAGAAATGGAATAATAGATTTTATACATGGTTAACGGAGTTTATCCACAGTAATTGAATTCATTTACCAGGCAGTTACTTCGGAACTGTTAGTCTTACAGTAATAATTTAGTAGTCAATCCACAGCTAACCTATACAATAAAATATGTCTTCAGTGAAATTTCTTTTAAAATACGTGAAATATAAGGACCATTCATGCTATCTGAGATTCCTATTCTCTTCTTTTCACTCGGTACTGCAGTGAGTTCCGAGAAGAAGTTAGCTTTCTCGTTGTTTTCTCCTACATCATTAATGGACTGCAGCTTGAATAATGAATGAAGGATTAACACCAGTGAGTGAGTCATTAAATGCATGGGGGCACTGATAGCTGGGTCACTTACTGTTGTTTGTGACTACTCAGCATTGCGCATGCATGATTTCTTGAGGAAATGATACAATGAGTTTCAAGTCTTGTGATGAATAGACTACTCCGCATTCACTTCTTCAG